AGCTAATTACGAAAACTGTACAAACGTGATTACATTTGGAGAGTGGGTGTGGGTGTGTGTGTGTGGATATTTTTGTTCCCGGGGGTGGGAGTGTTAATGGTTTGTATATTATATATTGTATATTACACTCGATGAAACAAAGTTGAGATAGTACACAAACAAATGTGACAAAGAGAGTTTTTTATGTCTTTCATTTTATTAAAGGGTTTGTGGAAGGCAGTGGCATATTTAGGCAAAAATAATGATGTTTTCTGATTTCAGGGGGTTTGGGGCCGTATTAAGCCCCCCCCCCTCCCTCCGGAGATCTGCAGAAATTGACAATATTTGAAAGTCTCAGAATTATGTGCAGTGTGAAGATAATACAAAACTATCTTTCAATAATGAAACAAATTGAAATGCATTCTTTCATCAAAGAATTTTGTATTTATTTATTTTAATTTTCGTTTATATTCCATTTTACTATTATTTTTTAAATAAAGTGAATGCTTTGATCGAATTCTAAAGACACACAAGCATGGTAGCTACACCACTGGAAGGTATGTAATCACAAGTCCTTGACATTGTGAATACGCCTGAATTTACCATCAAAACAGATGGAAACTACAGTTGAACTGTCTAAGCTTACGGCTTTTTTTTTTTCACTTTTTAATGTCGGTAAAATATTTTTCACAAACTTATCGCTCTAGTTTTCCTCCCGGGTGTAAAATGTTACCGTTATACGTTTTACTATTTTAGATTTTCACTAAAGATAAGAACGATTCCTTTAATCTGTTAATCTTTTACAATGGGTTAAGTAGCCATTTTGTGATTATTATCCGCTTTGTCATCGGTCTATAGAGCTCTTACCGCCATTATAGTGCGGAGTACGTCAGCGATGACCGTGTGATATTGCGACACCTATACTGACATATATTAACTCATCAAACAACGTATCGCCCTTCCGTGACTTCGCTAAAGGAATCCTTGACATTATGTTACGATGAAAATAACTGATAATATAATTGTGTAAGATAAGCTTCGATGAAAATCAACGCTGTTCAACATTTTTTATTCAGTGGTCTTTAGGAAGACTGTAGTCTTGCAGAGAGAGAGAGAGAGAGAGAGAGAGAGAGAGAAAGAGATTTCTCGGGCAGATGGCAGACGTACAGTATTTTGGTTAGAATATTATTAGGAAAATGAAGGAAATTTTTAATGATCATTAATATCGAAAAATACTTAAATTTCATAAAATTCTATACGTTGTCTAACGTATTTTATCCAAGTAAGTGCAAAGTTTTTGATTAAAATTGATTGCTTGCATTGAAGAATCTTCCAACACTGTGTTTTTAAAACAGATAGCATCAAGTTCGTTTATTCCAAAAAGATAAACACAATAAAAGTATCTGTATCTATCCCACGCTTGCGATTTTTTAAAGTTAATTATTTAAATCGGATAAAATCTTCAACTGGAGGAACAATTTATTGTAATTGTGTCTACGTACTTTACGAACAGTGTCCTTGAACATCAACTGGGGAATCGTTCTATATACATTGAATTTTGGGTACACTGAAAAAAGACAGTGGCGATAACCATCATGAGAGCCCCCCTCCCCCCATTTCATACTCATCCATGTTTACTATAAGTAAGAAAAATGGTGGATTGGAACTCAAAAATTTAAAATTCATTAATTTTGCTAAATGCTTTATCACCAAATATGCCACATTTTTTTTCTTTATCGGCTGGTCTTATTAAAGTTCTGTTACTTGTCACGAGGGGCATGACTTTTCAATCATAAAAATAAAAATTGCGAGGGTTAAGAAGTATCAGGCCATATCCTCGTGAAAATGTAAGAGTAAAATGTATTAATTATTTAATTATATCTACATTCCAATAATTATTGGTAAACATTTCCACATTTTATTCTATTGTAGTCTGATTGCAATATTACTATTCATCGGCTGTAGTTTTCTTTAAAGGATTACTAGTATACATCAAACATTTTATCTCCTGAATTATTTTTACTTGTATTTTGATCCTCTTTTATTTTTGGAAAAAAGGTTGTTATTTAAGAAAAACGCCCAATTGTATTAAAAGAAGTAAATAAAAACTTTATATATCTCATGATGTCTCCAACATTTCTCGTCACCAGTGTAACGCCGGCAAAGTTTTAGTGTAATATATATAGTCAATGTTTGTACATATGTACACTAAATACCACGCGCTCTTTGATGTCCCCTTAATGTTTATTTTGCCGCACTGCCCTTAACGGACGCCGATATAATTGGCGATCTGTAGTCGCTCTGACCATATCCAGCTTGTATTACGACATCTATAAACACGTCTTTAGAACGAGAAAGTCTAAAAATGAAAAGCTTTCGATCGTATCCAGGCGCATTCAGTAGTTTGGCACAGACTAATAACCGGCTAGAAGGGTGTGGGAACAGCGGCGACTCCAACCGGTTCGACAGACCGGCAGTCTGGCTAGAGTGAATTACGTCAGACTAACTTTTATCTATTAAAATGTCAATTTTGGCTAGTATTTGTTCGATGCAAATAAAAATAAGGCGTCGCCAATGAAAACGCAACAAAAGACATAACTGTTTTAATGTATAAAAAGGGGTAAACATACTGCAAATGCTTCCCTGAATACGTTTAACTAAGTGGATGTAAAAAAGGGTATCGCTTTTTTTTCACTAAATTTCACTAATATCATTAATACATGTATTTAATAGCATGTTAATACCGTTACTTACCCCAAAGAGTGTTCGGATGAATTTCTGATGTAACCAAAGGGGGATAATCCAATCTCGATGTACATGTAGCACATTAAGTTGTTTGGCCAAGAAGGTTGCAAATTTTAACGACCGACTGCTTATATATACTAGTCTAAACATTAAGATTGCTACTATGGTTTTAAGGTGTCAGTGAGTATGGGCTCTGTATTAACAATAAGTCTGCTTTTTGCGTCAAAATCGTTTAAAATTCAAATTCCGCGTGGAGACGACTGTCCGCCTTTTTGTTGATGAAGTGGAAGAAATCAGAAACAGACAATTAGATGTGTACTGCAAGCTTGTTGAGATGTATAAGTTCTGGGGTGCTGGGATCATTGAAAGCCGTGATAGAACAACAAATAATTGAGCCAATTCTGGTGGTTTTATTTGTTTTGATCGTAAACAAAACTACAATTAAACTGTTCATACATCGAAGAGCCTCGGCATTTTGTCGAGGAGAAAGAGACAGAGCAATTTCTTTGCCTACATCGTCTGCACTACTGACGTTCTGTCTACCGCCAAAATTCGCGCACCTGCCAAAAAAAAAAAAAAAAAAAAAATCACAGAAATGTTTTCTTTCCATTTCTTTTAAGGTTTTTGCAGTATTTTGAGAATTGTCTCCTGTCTGGACAACTCATTTCATTACATTGTAACAAGCGATTTTTTTAAAATAAAAATTTTATAATTATGCAATGAAGTGCTATGAATACATGTATACTGTATTGTCATGTTGTAAAATTTGAATTTACCGGGTGGCAGTAAATACAAAATTTACAAGATGTCATGTTGTAAATTCTGTATTTACTGCCACCCGGTAAATTCAAAATTTACAATATGACAGTAGTAAGAATCTTTATTTCAAATACATGTATTCTCTAAAACACATTAAGCAATCCCGTAATAAAAATAAAGCAATCAAGTAATAAAAAATTACGCAACACGATTAATCCGATGTATGTATTTGTATCATGTTAGAATCATCCATTTTTTGTTGTTGAAAACTTGAACTAATTATGTAGCATATGAAGCTACACAGGGCGGGTGATTAATCATAGCAACCCCATGTACTTTTCGTTCTTTTTTTTAGCCCCCACCCCCCACCCCGGCCCACTACCAATACCACATGTTTCTCACTCTCCCAAAACTTCAGGAAAAAAACTATTTTAATTTTTATTTTATTTGCTTAAAAATAAGCGAAATATGCAGTAGCATCAGAATTTACATGTAATAATCCGAAGCATATGCACTGCAGCCGGTTTTTGAAAATGCGATTTCATTGATCATTTCAGTCCTACAGTCTTTACATGGTATTTGAGGTTTAATCAAATATTAATACATGTACATCAAATTTAAGCCATTTTAGTTTCTATTGGTTTCTATTATTTTGAGGAGGAAAAAAACTTCTTAAATTGCAAACAAACGAAATGTAACAAGAACATGAATGGAAATGTTTCTGTGCGGCCATAAGCACAGTGTAAAATAATTCATAACATGTTAGGTACAATACTACATGTAAGATCAGGGACCTATATACTAATGGTATATAGGTCCCTGGTAAGATCTAATATTGCATGTAAGACTAAAGTTTCAGGAATTTATGGGATCTTAAAAAATAATAGCACTGGCACACATTTCAGTATTATTTGTAAACGTTGAGACATTTACAGTTTCCAGGCGAAAGGCAATCAGTTATCTACAAGTTTATGTGCAGAAATGTATACGTATTTACCACTTATTAATTTCCATGAAATAATAAACTATTTTATATTACATTTTCAAAATAAAAACACTTAAAAGTAACAAGTGAAATATATTTACTTCCAGTATTTTTTTTGTACCTCTTTATACATATAATCATGAACGTTTTAAAGTTACAAAAAAAAACTATTAGTGTCAGAAGTGGGATTCGAACCCACGCCTGGAGAACCAGACTGCGACCTGAACGCAGCGCCTTAGACCGCTCGGCCATCCTGACAACATATCTACCCTTTCTCAAAGCAAAAAGATATGAAAAGAATTTTTCCAAGATCGATGAGCTTATATTATCACACTGAAATAAGTTACAACAATACAATACCCTTTTTACACTTTAATTTACTGCGTTTGTTTAAGACTACATGAAAATTTAACATACATCTATAAATCTATTTTGGGAACACAACATTCCGATTGGTTTATTTTCATTTCTGACGTCAATTTGGAATTCCTATAATGTAACTGACTTCCGGGTAAAGAACGTGATAACATTTAAGATTTTTTAACGGAGAAAATAAAATTTTCAGTGATGTCGAATGAAGTGACAGCGGATACTTATATCCGCAAGCTACCGTACTCTGCAATACTAAAGATCGTGAATTTCTTGGAGCCTGATCAACTTTGGAAGAGGTTTTTATGTCATGTCCCTAAACGACTGGATGACGAGATTTTCGAGGAGCGGTATAGTACATCACAGGCAAAGATGATCGAGAACAGAGCAGCAAAACCTGGCACCTATGCTACTAGGTAATACAGAAATGGTATACTTCAAAGAAAGTTGATGTTGCAGAACTACATAATTACAGTAGAGTGGGGCATACAATCTGCATACGCATGATCATGATGACATGGATATTGTCAACACTGGTCAATACTGGAGCTGACTGTAAACTGTTTTCCTCTTATCATGTCACATCAGGAATTATAAAAAAAATATACAGGAAATAAATGTCAGCATTTTTAAAAGGGGGAAACATTATTTCAATTACTTAACTTTGGGATATTACAAATCACAAATGTAATCATATGACTAAGCCGCTTGCATTAGTTACAACTATTGCAAGAACTATAGGTCTACTTAATCACGATGCTTATAGTTTACTTTTCTACAATATAACAATTTTTTTTGCCTTGTACATATATTCATTTGAACCCCTGAAATTAACTTATGTTTTGCTTATTTAATTTCAGAATCATTCTTGAAGAATGGGGAACACAAAATGCTCGTGTGAAACATCTCATCAAAGCCTTGACAAAAGCTCGACTGTATGCAGCTGCAGACTATCTAGCTGTCGTTCAACTCAAAGGTAGCCCAGTACCACGAGAAGATGAACCCATTTTATCACCAGTAGGACCTTGTTCACTGACTCCCAATGAACAGAAAAATCTGGAGAACAGAAGCTTTGAAAAGAGGGAGCTGTACAATAAAGCAAAGATGCCTGATTCAGCCCCAGGTCAACCAGATAGTACAACAGAAAATGACACACGGACAAGTTATAGTAGTGAGGACTTTGTCAGAGATGACTCAGGTACGTTAAACCATCGCACACCTTCAGAGTGTTCAGAGAACAGAGTGCTGGTTAACAGAATTGAGTCTTACGACAGTGGAGGGAGAACACCCGATCTGAATGCCTCTCCATGTTCAGTATCCACAGACAGACACACATCTAAGCCCTTATCAACAGTCTACAGACCCGGGTCTCAAGCTATAAACTTTTCTGTGCTGCAGTTTCACACCAACAGCTTTGATGAGAGGCCTGCCTCACAAGGGGGCAGTGTTATAGGGAGGGGAGGGTTTGGAACAGTATATAAAGCAAGATTTCAAAATAATTATGTTGTGGCTGTCAAACGGCTAAAGGACCCTGAAGATCCAGTCATGCTTAAGCAGTTTGAAACAGAGCTAAAAACATTAGCTGCTTATCATCATGAAAATATTGTTGAGCTTGTTGGGTACTCCATTGATGGCCCTGAGAAATGCTTGGTATATGAATTTATGCCCAATGGCTCTCTAGAGGACAGACTTCATTGTCTGAATGGGACTCCTCCTTTGTCCTGGCAATTAAGACTTGATATTGCTTATGGCACAGCCAGAGGTATTGTATATCTGAATGACAATGGGTTAGTTCACAGGGATATTAAAAGTGCAAATGTTTTACTTGATGAAAAATTTGTACCAAAAGTTGGTGATTTTGCTACAGCACGTCTGGCACCCTCTGGCAGTAGCACAACTGTGGCATCAACCAAACTGGTGATAGGAACTTCTGCATACATGGCCCCAGAAGCCATCAGGTTTGATATATCAGCTAAACTTGACTCTTTTGCATTTGGAGTGGTGTTACTAGAGATTTTAACAGGTCTTCCACCAAGTGATAACAATCGTGAGGACACAGATCTCTATAGCCATGTGTTGGAGAATGTTGAAGACAGTATCATCCACCTTCTGGATCATAGCGCTGGACCCTGGTGTCACCAGACTGCTGATGACCTCTACCACATAGCCCTCCGATGTCTAAAGGACCGAAAAAGAGAGAGAGTGCAGGTTAAGGAGGTACTACATGACCTTCAAAAACTGCTGGCAGGACCCAGTTGATAGACCATTTGATTCGACGTAATGGATGCATTAAAAACAGACTTCACTTGGGTTACCTTATTTCTCTGTATGTGTCAAATTTTCAACAATTTTTTCAAAGTAGTTTATCTGGTGAATAGTAAAGTGATATTAGATCTGCCTCTCTGTTCTGGTATGCTGACCAAGTACATGCATATTTTTCTCTTAGTGTGAAATGTGGAGTTTGATTCTCATAAATATTGGAACAAGTAACCAAAAGCTGGATTCTGCCAGTACTAGTATTATCAGCAAGATCCTGTTTGTTTTATTTCTTTGCAACTTTAAATTACTGAAGTAGTTTGTCACAACAAAACACTTAGATAAACACTAAACTAGAACTTGATAAACATGTACTCCTTGCCTGACACACTGACCAGGATTCTATCCCAGGCTCATTAATCGCAGGCACTAGGTCCGACTGTTTCTCACCAGTACAGTGTTAAATCATATCTTTGGTGGCTTTCATGCGGGCTATGATAGACCATTTTGATATCTAAATTAATCTGTTGAACAGATTAAACTTCTTTGTACTACAAACATGTACATGTATATTTATACTGTTTCAAAAGCCATTACGTCCATTTGAATGTATTGATATAAGACAGACATAATGTTTATAATAATTTTAGCGAAGATTCAATTTTGGCATTTTTAGGGAGGGTTTTCAGGTTCGCTAAAATTAAATATCTCTGACAATTTATTCCGCATTAAAGGTTACTGTTATCTTTTTATGCATCATAAAACTGATAAAAACATATGCTTGTAAATTTTGCTGTTCATATTTCTCATGAGCCACAGCACTACAACACTCACCCAAATCACCTTGGCATTGAGTCAAATATATAAACCAGAAGTCTCCATCAAGACTATAGCTCTACTGGTGTGTACTTATAATAATGAAAGGTGTATCTTTGTAAAGTCTACTTACTTCTCGCTAATATTAAATACTGATTTTTAAGGTCTGACGACACGTTCCTCGAATATCTGTTTTTGCATTCTTTTCTTATTTACCAAAACTAATCATAATTACCATTATCTTTTGATTTCTAAACTATTTTCTAAATGTCGGCAAAAAATTGTGATTCATGTACTAGCAATTTAAGTGATTTCCAGTATAGGATTATATAGGAAATACCATTGTCCGGAAACTTGCACAAATGCCTGGTAATGTACCCTAATTTTTTGTGAGGAAACTTCTTAAAGTATCGATATTTCAATCACAAATTCTTTGGAAAAGTTGTATATTTTTGAGGAACTTGTCGTCTGACCTTAAGGACAAATAGCTAAATTTGAGTCTCGCTAAAAATTCCCTTTATGTGGTATCATCTTAGCAAACCCTTGTCTTGCAAGGATGAATTTAAATATAAAATCTTGAAAACTCAGCTGTGTTTTTTTTTTGTTATGAGTACCAGTTTGTGATTGTTACCTTTGTAGAAGTTCTTGCTTTATGGACGTGGACATAGGCCTGGATAGCTCAGTGGTTAGAGCACCTGATTAGTAATACAGGGGTCCCAGGTTTGATTCCCGGTCCACCCATATGTTTTCTTCATGCATTTCTCCTTTCCTACTACATTTGGTGGCCAGTGTGGGGGGCCATGTTCAGGTTATGTAATGTGTAAATTAGTAATTCCTGACAGGGCCCTAGAACTTGTGTCTTTGAGGGCGAAGACAGTGTAAGGAGGGAGGAATGTGGAAGTTCTGGCTTTATGGACCGTGGACATCGGCCTGGATAGCTCAGTGGTTAGAGCACCTGACTAGTAATGCAGGGGTCCCAGGTTCGATTCCTGGTCCAGCCATATGTTTTCTTCATGCATTTCTCCTTTCCTACTACACCTTATATGAAAGATATAAATTCTAAATCCACCCCCTCCCCATTTAAAGAATTCTACTGGATCTGCCACTGCACTGTAGGATTGCAGTCAGACAGAAATCGGAATTATGAATGACATCCACTGCTTCATGAACTTGATGAAAAGAAGTTAAAGTTGAATTGTCACACTCCTTGTGGTCTAGTTACCGGATATCTAGTTACTGCCATTAAATTACCAGTAAATTAAAAATCTGCTTTCTAGATTTGACTAAATGCATATCGAAATAAGCATCCTTTGAAGATTAATATCACAAACAAGGAAGTTTTATAAATCAGGAAAGATGTAATTCGCTGATTACTGATTGTTGTTTCCTGTAAACCTTTAAACATTTTGATGGCTGGGAAAGGGTTATTAAGGGGGAAGGGGAGGCGAATAACAGTGATGTTATTATTCCTAGGATTGAATGCCTTCACAGACACATAACAAAATAATCATTCATTATCACAATGTCTAAAGTTTTTGCATAATAAGCATTGGCCCAAAATATATGACTTTTTGACAAACAAGTAGATACAACACTTTTTAAAAGTTCTCTGTTTCATAGGGAAAAGTATTTCAAAACATGAATTTTGAATCACTTTAAATGTTGTCACAGTGATGGATCAATCATTCATATTAAATGATCATAAAAATTGGTTACCATGGTAATTTTTAAAGGAATTTGATTTCAAAATTTTATCACAGAGCTTCATTAAATATTGTTTTTTCCCCTATTATTTAAATAGTGAAGGCATTAATTTTACTGTATATGTCATTCAAACTAAAGTCCCTCCATCCTACTTGTGAATATATTTAAAAATGGTTATCATATGACAATTCAATTGGCTAAATACCAATAGGTAACGTGAAATTCAATCTAAGAATTGCTATGAATGCAATACTCTTTGACAACCAAAAAGAAACAGCACTGAAACAAACAAAATTTAATGAATTGCACATTCCTTAATTATTTAAGGTACATTAACCCTTTAATAAGAAGAATAACTCCCCTTGGCATAAATAACTAGACATCATTGAAATGGTGACCATCTCAAAGGGCCCTCTTTTAATGTCAAAGGACACTAGGATGAAAGTCCCTCCCCTTCTCTAAACTGACCATGGTTACTTGTGTTAATTCTATCCTCTTCTGGGAAATCAATCAGATATGAACAAACATGTACTCCTATATACATTGTACTTCATACGACAAAAAAAAAAAAGAACAACAACTAAGTATTAACTATTGAATAAATTTAATACTGACAATTGCTATTAGAACACATGCATATTTATAAATTTCTATGAGCAGTATTTTTTCTAGTCCTTGTAGTTTTCAATAAATTATAATTAATATATGTACAATATCTACCAGAGATAAAAGGAATATAGAACGCCCGCAAAAGTCGATGAGATCTGAAAAAAAAAGAGATCAAGGGAGGTAAAAAAAATTCACCAGAAATCCATCATTTTCTAGAGTTGTCATTATTTGCACAAATACTAGTACATGTAACAGTATATAAAAATGCCTCTTCATCTTAAGAAGTTGTCATTTATGTTTAATAGATATCTACTGCAAAAACAAGGCAGAAATCTGTTGAAAGTTTTAATGTAGAGAAAAATTTAATTAAATTTTACCTATTTATTTTTCTATGAGGAGACCTATTATGTTTTACTGGCAGGGGAAACTGTAATCAACATTAAAAGCAAAAAATAGAAGGACTTGACATCCCCTGTCCATTGACAACCAATTAATTCTACCTACCTGCTTGCATCTAAAAATGGTACTGAGTGAAGAATGGTCCAATCTTCTGCATTAGCTGAATAGTTGGGTTCATATTTTGTGTCTGTCTGTGTGTCAAGGTCTATGAGGTAGTGACATCTTGTGACATTTGACTGTCAACAGGAAAGCAAATTTGGAATCATGTGTTACTCTGATGAACATACATGTATAACAGGAGGAGAGGAAATGTGACAAACTGGCATTTGAACTGATTGCCCTGTACAGTAGATAGATGGTTTAAGGTTCAACGATACTCTGATAAGAGAGATAACTCTTAATGACATAAATGTCTATTATTCCTTTACAAATTTGTCAAGTTGATGTGTCTTTTTTGTCCAATTTTGCCCCGCAGGCTTTGCTGTGATTGTTTGTATTTTACTTAACAAATACATTTCTTTTGGAAAATCATAAGAGTGAAAGAAACATTTTATATGAGTAAGCAGAGGGTTTATGAACCTTATAATTAAACTTTCAGGCCACTGGTTAATGACCCTGCCAGACTGACTCAAAATTACAGAGTACATGAATAATATTTAGAGAAAAACTCATGAAGCAAACTTCAGAAACTGTTAAAATTTCATTTGTTGTTATATCTAGTTAAAACAAATACACAACACAAACACAATGGCAGACTCTAAAGAAGTCCAAAACTTTAAATAAACTAGATGTATTGAACTTGAAAGCTGCAGTAGATTTAATTAAGGATCCCACAAAGTACTTCTAAGTGTACAAGCTTATAGCTCTTGAAGCAGAGCAAGCAAAACAAAAAGGCCCATGGGCAACATTGCTCACCAGAGCACATCAGTTCAGTATTGAAAGTTTACATGGGGGGAGGGGGGGGGGGGGTAATTGAATTTTACAAAGGACTTTGATGTTCTTGAGAAGAAGATTTTTAAAGATTTTTTTATTTTATTTTTTCATATATATATTCCTTTGTAAAAATTTGATCCCCCCACTGTGGTTCCTCACTACCCCCTGGGGTCATGATTTGAACAAACTTGAATCTACATTACCCAAGAATACCTCATATTAATATGACTGAACAAGGCTTTGCTGTTCTTGAGACGAAGATTTTTAAAAGATTTTTTTCCTTTATATTCCTTATATTCCTTTATATTCCTATGTAAAACTTTGATCTTCCATTGTGCCCCCCACCCTACCCCCCGGGATCATCATTTGAACAAACTTGAATTTACACCATGTAAAGAAGGTTTCCTATATATTTAAACCTTTTTGGCCCAGTGGTTCTTGAGAAGAAGATTTTTAAAACATGCCATCAACTTTTTCAGTATTTCTGAATTATCTTCCCTTGAATGAGGGTGTGGCCCTTCATTTGAACAAACTTGAATCCCCTTCACCCCAAAGATGCTTTGGGGCAAATTTGGTTCTGGAGAAGGAGACAAAATGTGATCAGAAAAGCTAACTTGCTTTCAGCTCAGGTGAGCTAAAAATATACATGTATCATGGAGTTTGATCTATGACCAGAAACCTGATGCAGTTTTAATACTGTTGATTATTTTGTTCTGTTTATGTAGTGGGTAACGCTTACATATCTTGACATTTCTTCTTTGTTGAGGTCATTCATGTCTGATGGGAGGATTCTCGTAGCATCTTCTCCAGCACTGTATGGCTTTGGAAGTTGACCCTTGAACTCCGATCTCAGGAACAGAAGATTCCAGCTTCAAAATTAAATATACATACTTATTGATGATAACTTAGTGCATTGTACCTACCTGTACCCAGCTTTGGAACAACAACTAGAGTTCAACAGCTCTCTCTCTCTCTCTCTCTCTGATATCCTATAAAAGGTAAACAACTGAGGCACTCACTTGTTTCCAGGAAGAAAGAAGTTGCTTGGGAAGCGGTACCATTCTTTTCCTACACATACATTGACAGACTTCTCTGGAGGTAGGGTGTGGATTTTTGGATCAGCGGAAATTCTATTCAGCTCCACATAAATATCTAATGGTGCATGGTATCCTGTGAGTATAAAGTCAGATTGGAATAAATGCTTTTTCAGTTTCTTTTTTGTGTATTTTATTTATTAAACTTAAAACTACTACTTGGACCAATGCTGATCAAAAAGGACATGTTGAAACTTGAGATTCATTGATAAAGAAAAATAAAAACAGACCTGGGAGTTAAGGGATTGATATTTGGATGATATTTACATGTATTGGCATGCAAGTTAAGATAATGATCAACAGACGGTTTACTGGTACTTGGTACTATTCACTTCCTAAATAAAGAGAAAAATTAACACAATAAGGGGCAAATAACTCTGTATACACATACCCTGATACAGTGCAATGACTCATGAGAAGGACAGACCACTAAGCAGGACACACAGACAGACGGGGATCCAGTTAGTTTATATACTACGTACTACTAATAGACATACATACCCTGATACAGTGCAATAACTCGTGAGAAAGACAGACCACTGAACAGGACACACAGACAGACGGGGATCCAGTTGGTTTATATACTACATACTACTGATAGACATACATACCCTGATATAGTGCAATGACTCGTGAGAAAGACAGACCACTAAACAGGACACACAGACAGACGGGGATCCAGTTAGTTTTATCTGTGTAGTGATGACCCTTCTGTCGGGGTAGTAAATAACAGCACAATTTCTGAAATCAATCAAATATAAAAAGCAAATTGCAAAAACTTTTTTTCCATTGTTGAAATCTAATAGGAATGTACTGTTTATTGTGTTTCAAAAAAGTACCAGTCTAACAGCAGGATTTTTTTCATATGAACTTGACACTTACATGAAATATTTGAAAATTATAAAGAAATACAATAGACATGAAGGCTTGTTTTGTAACCTAGGGTCACTAATGATACATGTACCTGCAAATAATCAATGCCAACAGCTCCATGTAATGCCAGAAGTGGGTAGATAGGAAACAAAAACCTCTCCTCCTGAAACAAAATCAGTATGTACAGCTTCCAATATCAAGTAAAACAAAACTCAAGAACTTCTTACAGACATTTTGTATTCAAATGAAATATGAGTATCTGACATTTCACAATTTTGGATTCGTTATTTTTTCTGCATCAGCTGATAATCCTTTATACATTGTCCATGCATGATAAGTTAAATGGACTGAGTAACCTTTGATTTACGAGTTAGAAGATTCCTCTCCTTTTACAGTTATGTCAGATTTCATAAAAATTAATGACTGAGAACATGAGCCTCAACAAAGAGAAGAGCACAAAAGGTATTTGACCCAGATGGTTCATAAGGAAAAGAGGTCCATTTTACACACACTGCTACCCCAAAATTTTGGAACCATATTTATCAATTCAAAGTTCACATGGCCGCATCTGGTCAACTACATGTAATTGTGTGCAAACAATCACTAGAGCCGTGATGCAAGGTGTAAGTGCTTGTCAAATTACTAACATTGATTACCTTATGTGGTCTAGTGAAGAAAATTAACATCCACAGGTACATTGGTAATAATAAAAGCCACACTGGTTTTTCTATAAACACAAAAAAAAGAACATCTTCATTTCATTTTCAATGTTATATATCATGAGATGATAAACGCACTTTGTTTGTGAATAAGTTTTTTTCAGTAACAAATGAATACATCAATTATTATGGAGAGCTCAAACTGAGATTTATATATTCAGCATCTATTAACCATTTGAATTTGTGTATATGAGTTATGAAAAAATAGAATATTTACAAAAATGCCTTGCATTTCCAATTTACCTTTTTCCTCTAGCTTTAGCAAAAACTTCACAAAGTACTGAAAAAATAAGAAAATGCTGAAATATCTGAGAAATTTACATACTGCAGAAGACATTTAATTTTTCTTAAGAAATGACATTTTATTCACTTTTTGAATATGACTTAGTAAATACACATATAATCCTGTACACACATGCTGTGGTGAGAGAGGGGTTTGGTATTATTCACTTTAATATGACACTTTTCTGATTCTGATTTACATATTTAAACTTACTTACAACAAGGGGTAAGCTGACCAACGCTAACACAAACATCACGTTGAAATTCAGGAACCCATTGAGGAAGTAAAAGGAAAATGGCTCAACACCTATCAAAAAAAGGTAGAATTATTCAACTATGAATAATTACAATAAACATTGTATTTGGTATAACATTGCTATAGAAATGTATTCCAGAAATCTTTGAATGCTTTTGTTATCTGAAAAATACATCTGATTTCGTGAGCATGCAAAGCAACTTATTATATTTTAGCATCTTAGATTATGGGGGCATAAAAAGATCTCAAAATAAAACTAAGCAAATTAGATGAATTCTCAACTGCAAGTCACAAATCCTAAGTTTACCATACAGATCAGGTCCATGGTCTGTAAACACATTATACAAGACTATATTAAGAGGAGCGATGACCAACTTTCCATAGTAATGGAAGTCAATATGCATGCTGGGCACCTGCAAAGAAGAAAAGAAGTAAACACTTTAAGTTTAAACTACAATTGGTTTTAACAAATATATTGATAAAATATAAAGAGAAAGGTTACACTGTCTTGTGATATTATTTTCTCAACATGTGATAAATTTTGCTCTGAATCTCAAATTTTTAGTCCTAAACTGCATTCCTTTTTTTTTTTATTTTAGTAGCTTAGGATTGCTGTGCTTTTACTCACAAAGAAAAATATTTGTCTGCTTTATACCCAAGAATAACAAATATTTCTAGAGATATAATGAATTTTCATTACATGATCCACTTAGTCCTACTGTGGTGCCTGAACCCTAGACTCAAGCGACATTATTTCACTACAGTGAAATTATCATTTATTTATCACATGATTCATTATCATCATGTAAACAGTTTGTCTTCTAGCTACCTAGGAGAATTTCTTTTTTTGGAGATTAAATGTCTAAAAATTTGAACAAACTTAGCCTTATCCTGGAGGCTGAATCCTGCACCAAGAGGATAATTTTCAATATTACACTTTCATGTAAATTATTTCTAATCTAATTCGTCGAGAAACATTTGTTAAAAAACACTATTACCCGCTGAATGATGAAGCCACGCCCTCCAGCGTAGCAACAGTCAACATTGCTTGATGACGGCTGATATTCCAAAAAATAGTGACTGAGCAGAATTTATGCATGAAAGGTTCACTGTTACATTATTTGTATAAAACATTCAGTATAATATAATAATATAATAAATATTGCATGTTGTTGAGTGTACAACCATGTAGTTGAGTGTACAAAACTCTCGACTAGACTGAGGCGCAGCCGAGGTTGACAATGGTTTTCTTGGGGTGAAAATTTTCAATGTTACACTCAACTACATGCAATATTTATATAATTTTATAAATATTAAAAAACCAAGGAACAACGTTGAGAGATAACTGCTCATTAAAATCAGGTAAACAGTTTGCCTGCTATGTCTAGGAGTAAAGAAGAGGATAATTGTAAGCATGCACAAATGATTTTAACCCATCTATCAGACCTCAAAGCAACATAAATCATTAAAACTCTCCCTTGTCCACAGATGCTATGTTTTAAAACTGGTTAAAAGTACTCCAGCCATTTGAGAGAAGTTGAAAATTTTTGAAAGATTATGAATGATGCAAATTTTGTCTTCCCCATAATATTTGAGTTTTTAGATTGACCTTAACTAACACATAAATATATTTTATCCACATTACCACAATGACATTCCCCATATTTTTTCTTTGTGCGTACTTTTTTCCCCCTATTTTTATATAAATGGTTCTTTGTTAACAAAATCAGAGTCATCAATGAAAAAAGTTTGCTATACAAAAATCATACGCTTAAAGGTAAAATATGGGAGTTAACCTGGCATGAATGAATATCATAAAATCTAACAAGAGGATTGATCTCCCTTAAATTTATTTCTAGCATCTTCTATATTTAAATATTTTAGGAATGATTCTAATTCTTGGCCAAATTATTTGAGTATAACCTGGTTTGGGTCAGTCTACGCTTTATAATCCGCGAAGCAGATTATAAAACAGCGTAAACTGACCCAAACCAGGTTATACTCGAATAATTTGGCCAAGAATTAGAGTCATTCCTTATAATTTAATTTTAAAATCATTAAATAACTAAGGGTGTAAAATTTCGTTGCTTTTCATTCGTTCAAATTTGCCGCTCAATAATACAATCGTAGTAACGGAAGTGATGGGAAGCGAGGGGAGGTAAAAACTAATGTATAGGCCTAGCGACAGCCTTGTTGTTTGTTTACATGTGGTAAGATGGAATTATTGTTAAGTTAAAGGTACATTTATTAAATCTGGAATTTTCCATGAATCCCGAGGACTGGAAATGAGAGGATTGTATGGATACAGATGATTCAGCTGGTTGTCGGGGGGGGGGGGGGTGGGGTGTCCCCATACCAAACCAGGTTATACAGAAATAATTTGTGTTCCTTTTTGGATATTAACCAATCAGAGGCTAGAATACAAACAAAATTAAATTATTTGTAATTACCATAAGTGCTAAATAAATAATATACCAGAAACAGAACTAAAGCCACAAGGCACCATTTGATGAAGTATCCTAATGCTTTTCTCCTTATTAGTATTTCAGCAGCTATGGGGGCCCTGAAAATAAAAAAAAAGGTACATACAATTAATGGGTCCTCTACACTTAGTCTGTTTAAAGCCATTATTCTGATTCCTGATAAGCTGTAGAGTTCAACTCCTGCATGTAAAAAATGTCATTTTTATTTATTTTTCAAGAAAAAGATGTTTAAAAAAAATTATATATATAGATTGCTACGCAATATACAGCTTCCACAAAGAATTTTAACTGTTCACAGTTACAATGTAAAAGAAAAATTTTATAAATCTTCCATACCAGATACAGATCGACATTCAAATTTAATTTAAAATCTATTTCTCCTCAGATTTTCCATTAAATTCCTTTTAAGGTGATAATTTGTAGATATATTTATTTAAGGTAGTGACAAAGTTGACGTAGCATGTTCAGTTTTAATTATACACAGACAGTAAAAGTGCTTCATAAACCAAATTCTGCTTGGCAAACATAAAAATAATTGTACCCCAAGATTCCAGCAAAGGGCCATCCTAGAATAGTACTAGCAGCAGTGGACAAAATGGCTACCTGTCAAAGAAAGAGAGACATTTCAAATTACCTTCATGCAAGAAATAATTCCAAAAAAATTTTTCCTCATAATTTTCCATAATGAATTACCAACTCCAACAATTCACACTGTACTCTGAAATGTAGACTGTGACACAAGTATGAATAATTATGTCACTGGGTAGTTTACATTAGTTACAAGTTGTTTTATAGCAAGTTATTATCTGTTCACTCTTTAAACATGTTCAATACTCAATCTTCTCAATAAACTAAATCTAAATATCAAAACAATGCACTTCCTTGCCAATGATATCAAAATTTGTTCAAAGTAAAATAAAGATAGCTAGAAACTATGTCTATAACATAGTCAAGAGGAATTAAAAGAGTGAAGAGAAGGAAAGTTTTCTTCTATTATTTGATTTTCTCCCAAATGGGAGTGGGCCGATCCTGGAGGTACTGCAATACCAGGCCAACCCGTGGCGAGAGCGGAGCAAGCCCCTGACATCTCACCTCATGCCAAAAATCAGTTTAATATCGTAGTTCCCATGTAGGGAACGTATCAGATATTAAGCTGATAAGAACAGATACTACACTTTGATCTTAGCCAAAAGGCCGAGAAGCGATACCGATGCTAAGGTAACAAAAGTTTAAATACTCTGTAAAGATGTCTTCATGCTCATGATAAAATATTTGCATTATCTGTAATAAAATTCCAAGTTTCTTTGTGATTTTCAAACACTTAATAATTTTTGTTCCTGGACATGTTTAATTACTATTTGTTCTACATTCTTGGTTAAGATTAATTATTCACCAGTTGTCAATTAAACAAAAATTTAATGAATTGAAGTTGTTGGCCATGTAAAGCCCCCAGTTATTGATCATCTGAGTTTTATTTCCTTGATTCGATACAAAGCTCAGTAGAGGGCGCTGTTTACACCAGTACTTAACGCTCCACTTAATCCTGGCTAAGTCTGGAGGGTTTTATCTGATAAAGCTATAATGCTCGGCCAGGTGTAAACACTTACATTGTTATATCTGCAGGTAACAAAAAGTGTACCTGATTATGGAATAGTCAAATCTAAATCTTAATTACATGTGTATGAAATATTGATCCAGTATTGTATTTATCTACCAACACTGCTTATAATATGTCATATAATCAGGTCTTTCTCATTGTTGAAGCAATACGAGCTGCATTTTTGAAAATTTTATTTTGCTCTTAAAATGTGCTGTTATGATAAATCTGTATGTAATTAAAACCTTTACGATCAATTAGACTAAAAAAGTATTAATTTTTTTCAGAAGAAAGATTTCTGTACATAATAATCTATAGTACAGTATTAGATAAGAAATCAATATTGTACAGGACGACAATAATGTAAATTTGCCTCAATCAAAGCATAGAAAAAGTTCTTCAATTGCTGCAAATATAAGCAATAGAAGTTCATAAACTTTCTTTTTTTTCTGTCATTGAAATAGTTAATTACAATATTGCAGCAAAAATTTCTGACATCAAAGCAGTGATTTTTCTGCACTTTTTAAAAGGGGCCTGGGCCTTTACAATTGGGAAAAATTATCGACATTTGTGTCAAATTGGGAAAAATTAATAAGATTGAAATTAACCTTAATTGACAGGTAAAATAAAATATATAAGTAAATGTAACATCTTTTATTCAAAATATTTACTACAAAATAACAAATTAGAAACAGTTCTACATTTTTAACTTTTTTTTTAATCTTTGAAAGTTGTCATTAATTGAGATTGTCCTATATAATTCCACTCTTTCTTCTTTTTTTTTTTTGCCATAATGGTAGACATAAGAGAAAATCCTACTCATAATAGCCATTGAAGGTGATATAACCTGACATGATTTATAACAAATCCTTTTTTTCTAACTAGTTATTAAAGCTTTTCAAATCATCCTTATCATATTGCTGCAATTACCCTGCAATATTAGTTGAATCTTCCGGGTGGTATAGAAGCAGTTGAAATCAGGCTTATTGTAGAACTACTAGTACTTTGATTTACAAATAAAGCTATGTTTCGCCGGTTCACATGCATCTTACACTTTCTTACGATGCATTTACTTTGACATGGTCCATGTCTTGTAAATGCACAAAATAATCAGCTGTTCTTCACTATTATTGACCGAGAACAATAGTGTTCCATTTTAGATAAGTCCTACATAAAAAAATTCAATATAACAAAAACAAGAACGGTTTTATTTTGGGAAAAAAGCAAATGAAACTGGGAAAAAATTGGTAATTTTTGATAGGGGAAAGGGCCGATATTCGGACATAAAATGGGTGTAGAAAAATCACTGCAAAGCTGCAGCTCATATTGCTTTAATCATAAGAAAGGTCAATCCCCTCAACATTTAATAAAATCTATAGAAAATGTCAAACATTCTCAACAAAAGATAATTATTCTTGCAGAGAAAAAATATTCATATGTATGTACCCATTACATTCCACACAATAACTGTAATCTTTAATATGATGACTTTTATTATAACTTGATTTTAACACAGTTAATTTTTGACGGCAATTCAACCCTAGAATCTCCTTTATGTATATTTCTATTCAGGGTCACAGAAATAGAAACCACATGTTGGCATTTGAACAACTGGATCATTAGGTTAGCATTTTTGACTCAAAAGACACTAGTGAGCCAGGAATACTTAATGAGCATTTGAATAAGCCTTTATAATCCAGAAAATTTTAAAATTAATGTATACTTATTAATAAATGATCTATATGTAAGGAAAAAATATTCAACCACAAATTATTTTTAAATCAACAAGAAATGTTTTTAGAAACATATAAAGCCGCTATGTGACAATATTAAAAAGGATACACCTTAAATTTAGAATAATTTTGTAATGATCGATAGTAAAAAAAAAAGAGTTACAAATGTATCTTCTATAGTCGTGGGCCAACATAACATTTTGATCTCAATCAGATCTCAATATCATTAGGGGTAATTAACTTTTTAGAGAGAACCAGTGTACAAGTTTGACTGTCAAGATAATGGTTCTCAAGATATTCAGCAGACAATATACATATATGTCTTGAGAAGTGTGACCCTTGACCTTTCACCACAGAATTGATAGGGGTCATCTTCTCCTTAGGGGGTTTCAATATATCAAGTTTGATGACTGTCAAGCAAAGGGTTCTCAAGATATTGATTGGATAATATTTTTTCTTACATCTTTCCTATTAAATTTATACTATTATGCAATTCCTGAATCATAACCACATTAAAGACCATATGACATCAAATAAATTATATGTATTTACCAGAACCTAGCTATAGAAACATGGTCTGGCAATAGGAAAACATCATTAGTGCTACCTAATTTCAAAACTTCATGACTTTTGCCATACATTTGTTCCTTTTACTTAAACATTTCCTTTGAAAAAGAGTGAATGATCACACTGATACCAAAATTAAGAATCAGTGCACATCTACTATTTATTGAAACAGGCAGATATTGTAAACCAATAATCAATCCCTAAGGAAAAAGGTATACGCTATGCTTTTAAGTTATTGGTTGAAAATGAAAAACATTTTATTTATACTATCCTATAATAAACTTCGATGTGAATATTATGATATTTTTAATGATAAATCTTCCTGTGTTACTGATCACATCAAAGAAATTGTTAACGTATGTGATTATAATGCTGCAAAATGTTTATATAACTATTTAGATGTAGATGTCTTATGTAAAGAAAAAATATCCATGGACTTTGAAAAATTGAGTGACTTTGTCACTTTGTATGTCAATTAAGTTTTCTGTTGTTTGTCATTTGACTTGTTATCTTGACAGTTGCCAACTTGGTGATGTCAATAAAACAAAACAGTATTAAACCAGAAGTCTCTGATGAGACTGTATCTCTACTGGTTTGTATTTATAACAAAGGAAGAGAAAAGTAGCACTTGCACTTAAAACTATGCAACAGCAATAACTAGAATAATGGTTCTTGGTTTAGTCTCTTTGTGGCAAGATTTATTGGAATCAGACTAAAACTGTTGGAGGGGTAGCCTTTTGAAGAATTTCACCAAAATTTATATTTTTAGTAACCATGGCAAGACCATTCATCAAAATCAAAAACCAATATACAGAATTATGTATCTCAGTGTAGTCTACTTGTGTGCAAAGTTATATTGAAATCAGAACTGTAGGAGAAGTAGCATTTTGAAAGTATTTCACGGAAATTTCTATTTTTAGTAACCATGGAAAGATTGTTCAACAAAATAAAAAAAAAACAAATGCATAGAATTATGTATCAACATGTAGTCTACTTGTGTGCCAAGTTACCATATATTTATGATATCAGACCAAAACTGTAGAAGTAGCATTTTAAAGGAATTTCACAGAAATTTTTATATTTTGTAACCTTGGCAACAACATTCATCAAAAACCAATGCAGTAAATGATGTATCTTAGTGTAGTCTACTTGTGTGCCAAGTTATATTGAAATTAGACTAAAACTGTAGAAGGAATAGTGTTTTGAAAGTATTTTATGGATATTTCTATATTTAGTAACCATGGCAACACTGTTCATCAAAACCTAACAAAAGAACAAATGGCCCAGGGGCCATGAAATTCACAATTTTGGAAAAAGCATCAATGCTTATCATAACCATGCACTTAGTTTGATTACATAATACCCAGGAGCACAGAAGAATTTTTTCAAAGAATTAATGCATGTTCACTATAATAATATAATCAATAGAGCTCTGCCCTAACACCAGAACCAATGACCCAGGTGCTATGAAATTCACAATTTTGGAAAAGGCATCAATGCTTATCATAACTATGAAATTAGTTTGTTTAAATAATACCGAGAAGCAGAGAAGAAGATTTTCAAAGAACTAATGCATGTTCACTATATAATTAATAGAGCCCTGCCTTAACACCAGAACCAATGACCCAGGGGGCCATGAATTTCACAATTTTGGAAAAGGCATCCTTGTGCATCATATCCGGGCACTTATTTTATTTAAATAATACCCAGAAGAAGAGAAAAAGATTTTCAAAGAAATAATGCACTTTCACTATATGATCTATATAGCCCCGCCCTAGCACCAGAACCCCGATCCTGGGGCCATGAATTTCACAATTTTGGTAGAGGGCCCAATGCTTATTTCAATCATGCCAACAGTTTGACTGCTTGATGTCCAGGGGTAAAGAAGAAGATTTTTAAAGATTGCATCAATTTTTGTGGTTTTAGCCCCACCCCTGGGGCCCCAGGGGGGCAGGGACCATGAAATTCACAATTTTTGTTCCCCTTCACCCAAAGATGCTATATGCCAAAATTGGTTGAAATTGGTTAAGCGGTTCTAGAGAAGAAGTTGAAAATGTTCAAAAGTTGGACGACACATGACGCACGTCGCAAGACGATGGACAAAAACGGATAGCAATATGTCACCTGAGTGACTCAGGTGACCTAAATATGGCATGCCAAGTTACACAGATTACAGCTCCATGTTGACCGCAGGCTGTCAACACTCAAACATGATAAACATGTATTACACACATATAAATTTACACATACAGTTCTTGAAATGTTCCACTTTTCCATTTTTCCATTTGCTCACCATTTGTTTACCATGTATTCAGCATGCACTCACTATTTGCTTTGCACTTGGGTTGCATTCATGTTAGGCATTCGCTCACCGTTCACTAACCATTCAACAAATTGCATTCAGGGTTCACATATCATTCACTCACAGTTCTCTCTGCATTTGCTCAGCATCTGCTCACCATTCACTCACTGTTTTAGAGGGAAAGTAGAACGTTTCAGGGACAGTATGTATGCTTACTGTGAGACTGCCAAAAGTGGGAATAAGGACTTTTTTTTGCATGGTTCATTAATTTTACTTAGTGCTTTTTAGACTATCATGTATCATAAGTGACCTATTTCATGTTGTGGGAATAGCAGCCATGGCATACGCAACTTTCAGGTTGTCACATCACAGATGTGCTGCCTGAGTATTTTATTGAGTTATTGTAAACCAATTATTATATACATGTATATTTCCTTTATTCAGGAATTGTCTTTCAACTGGTACATGTAAGCAACAAATAACATTTGTGGTAGAGGTTGCTCATTTCATAAACCTTTTAACTGTTTTAACTTTTAACTGTTTTGTACCATAAAGACCCGCAACAATAGTTGCTCTGGAATTCCTCAGATATTTCTTGCACACACTTAAAAGCTCTTTAACAGTAATTTGATTGGTTTTGATCACAACTAGGCTTCCTTAAGTACATTGGTACTAAACTGAAAAATCTTGAAAGAATAAAAAACATACATGCTAATTTTCACTCTCTGATATTCCCCTCTGGTCTAGCTTGTCCGGTCTAAAACTACAAATAATTGACCTTAGATTTCAATTTCTACCTGAAGAATCCTTTAAAGAGAGTGCTGTATGATAATGGTATTACCTCAAATGATCACAACTTTTAAACAAATACCATTGTTTATATAATCAGTTTAATGTGAAGACAGGGAGGGAAAGGGGTTATTTTGGGGAATTTTTTTTTTAACTTTTAAAAAGCTATGCTTATATCTTACATGTAGATGTCCCAGGAACCAGGCTCCCATAGACAGCATGGTCATGTACATACAGAAACTGCTAGGGAGAAATGCAGTAGACGAAATAAACATCCCAGCACTAATTAACAGGACTGCAAGAGTTATCCTTCCTGTGTTAGCTCCAAACTGTTTACAAACACCCCTAAAGATGTACAGAAAAAAGTGCATTGAAATTTTTAATAATATGTGCAGATGATGCCCACTCTCTTCTTACAATGCAATCACATACAGATTGTGTACTTACTTGTAAAAATAAATCTCACAGCCAGCACACACAAAAGCAAACACACAGCGTAAAATGTAAAACAGCATTATCTGAAAAGGTGGAGAAAATGTACTTTTACATTATTACTGGTAAGTCAACAACTCAAAAATTCAAATAGGGTAGTTAAATTTTCATGTTTTTTTTCATTAACATTGCATATTAACCTTACTTCAATAATTTACATCAAACAAATAATTCACAATATAATTCTTTTAAAGTATGTTCCAAAGAATCATAAAGTAGATTATAATTCCATATCTTCTTACAATAAACTGAACTAAGGATGGATTCACTTTTGATGTTGAGCAAAAAAGAATGGAAAGAAAAGACTTATCAACCTTATTCGTGCTAAATAATGTTTTGTACAAGGAGATTGGAAGGGTGTGGATCCAAAGGTAAGCATAGGAGCGGATGGCATACTTTGGTGAATATTCCCAGGTTTGGAATCCTTTACCAAACATCATAAAGTGCATCTAAAAAAATGAGAATTAACATTTACACTAACTATCCTGACATCAAATCGGAACAGAAGGAGGTAAGTTCAGCATAATTAAAAACTATTCATTTACCAGTATACACATTTTATTTATTTATCTACTTTATTTTGAAAATGAATACTGAGAGATTTTTTGAATATGTGACTAATGATGTCATTTAAGAATAACATTTTTAGTATAATAAATCATAGTACTAAATGTATACATTTTTAAAATACTAAATCCAATTCATAGGTGTATTGTTTTTAAACAGCTAATTTAAGATCATGCCAGCTAACTCTCTCGCTAGAAAATGCTTTTGTTGTCAATGTAAAATATACAACTGTACGATACACTGACCGGTTCCCAGTAGTTGTACGTCTCGTCACAGTCCCCTACTAAGTTCCACACTGCTGCACACAGTCGGGCAGACAGGAGGATTTTAAAGCCCGTGAAACCTTTAGGTGTCCATGGAAATTCATAGTGTGACCCTTCACTGAGGAAAAAAAAATTGTTTAAAAAGCAGAGAAAACATTTTAAATGTTTGTGAGTATACATGATTACCTTAAATTAATTAAAATGACAAAGATGAAATCATTTTGAGGGTATAATGACCATGATATAAATTCACAACACAAACATGGGTCACAGAAAAAAATTCCTTGAAAAATGACCATGTACATTATAAACATATTAATAACAACTATAATTAAAAAAAGAAGGGTTAGGGAGAAAATTTATGGTTGGACCAGGAATTAACCAGTATCCCTGCATTATTAGTCAGGTGCCCTAACCACTGAGCTACACCTAAGCTAATATCTACAGTCCAGAGATCCCTGACCACAATTTTCCTGATTTCTCCCTCCATAAATTGTTTTCTCCCTTGAATGACAAACAACCCAGACTCTTTCACCTTTTGAGTCCAGGGGAAGTTAATGCCACCAAATGTAAAACGAAAGGAGAAAATCTATAGCTAGTCCAGGAATCCGATCCAGGACCCCTGCATTACTTGCCAGGTGCTCCAATCACTGTTCAAATCACCCAGCCAACACCCCCTGACCACACAACCCAAACAACTACATTTTCATATCCTAATTAATGTACATGACACCAAATATAACAGGAAAGGGGACAATCTATGTCTGGACCAGGAATTGAACCCAGGACAACTGCATATCTAGTCAGGTCCTCCAATCACCAAGCCATCCATGTTGACATACACGGTCAATGTACCCCAAACCACAACATTAAATACAGTGGAACTTCGATATCTCGAATACCATGGATATGTCAAACTGATTTGGAAGTCCCAACCACTTATTCTTTTAGTATTTTACCCTTGAGACTTGAATCCTCAGATATCTCGAAGTTTTTTCTCTGTCCCATCAAGTTCGAGATAACGAGGTTTAACTGTATATGGATATGGACCGAAAAGATATATGGAATGAATATCTTTTTTTTTTTTTTTTTTTTTTTTTTTTTAAATTTAACAACTTGGTTCAATTATGATACCTTTGTTCCTGAATGTTGGTTGACTGGTAAAAAAGTATAACATTTTAACTATATAGCATGACTGCATGACACTGTTTTTTGCGACATATATAAAGGGGCTTGCTCTCAGAATGTAAAACTAGTTACCTAATTTAAGAAAAAAATTCATTTGTTGTTTTAGTTGTTAGTTAATAAATTTTTTAGTACACTCCGGGAGCAAGCCCCAGCTCCTGTGGCCATATCAGGGTTGTATGTTCGTTCGCCCTAAAACTTGTTCGCCCTTGATGCCGTTCGCCCTCATTCCCGTTCGCCCAGAGTCTGATCGCCTTAAAACTTGTTCGCACGGGTCCGTTCGCCTTATTTATATTGCAGAAAGTTGAATAATGAACCAATGGATTTTTTAAATAAATTATATGTACATTGGTACATAAATTGCACACGGGAGACAACAGAAGTATGCATGTGGTCACACTATAAATACCTGTCCTATCAAAGACCCGTCAGACCAACAGAAATTCTGTAGCAACATTTGAAAAAAAACACCAAGTCGTAAAATATTGAATAAAATTAATAATAAATGTAGATATTTACTATATACTATATATATATATATATATATATATATATATATATATATATATATATATATATATATATATATATATATATATATATACATATAACAGGGCGAACGAGATATAGGGCGAACAAGAATAATGGCGAACGGACCTCGCGCGAACGGACTCATGCGAACAGGTAGATAGGGCGAACGAACCTGATACCCCATATCAGCATCCCAATCCTCATCCTGATTTCACGAGCTTTGCTCTCTTTTTTGAATTGCAAAGCAGGCATGAAATGAAAAATCTAGCAGAAGTCTATAAAATATACCCACCTTTTGTTGTCTGATGGTAAAGATTTGTCAGTTTTCAAGTCTTTCTTTTTCGAGCCCCGTTGCTTCATGGCGGCTGACATATTGCAGGCCCGCATAAAATTAAACTGACCTTCACCCGAATATAAACAAGTGACAACATGGCCTCCGTCGGTCGTTTTGCAGCAAGACTGCTAAGAAATTCTGCAGTACTACGACAGAGCAGACAATGGCAGCAGACGGCCTTGTGCAGCGTTGTGGCAGGGACCGCGCAGCACACGCTGAGCGTCCGAAAACGTATCGAGGACATGAAAAAAGCTGCACTTTTAGGAGGGGGTCAGAAGAGGATTGATAAACAGCATGAGAAGGTTGGAGCATTCAGGTCTAAGAAGCATATGAAATAAATTTTGGATTTGGGGCATGTGTATCGCTTTGCAACATTGCAAAAATAGTCACAAATCAAGTCATATGTAAAATCTCTTTTTAAAGCGATTTGTTTTTATTTTTTAATTTACATTTTCTATTCAGCTATTAGACTATTTAGCAGTCTAGACGAACTCCAAAAACGGCGTGAACTCCGAAAACGAAGTCAATGGCTCCATCATGCATTGCGGCAAAATGGCGTCCGATGTAAACAAACGATGGATTGTCGTTCGCTTTCTCCAAATATACGGCTGCATAATGGCTGTATTTAATGCATTGTGTCTTTATTTTAATTTTTATTGAATGGATAATTACATTTATTAAATTATTTTGTGGATATTGACTTATTTATTGCTTCAAACTCTTGCATACTAGTAAATTGGATATACGACATCGAATTCAATAGTGCCGGTAAGAATTATTTTCTTATTTGATTTATTGTCTCCTTGATTTAAATTTTATGTCGTTCCTAAAATAAAGATGCTTTTATTTGTTTTTGAAGACACCCAGCTTGTATTTGTTTTAATCAGAAAATGCGTATTTTTCAACATGGAGCAGAGATATTCACAGGTTCATTTTTAGAAGACATGTTGTGACCTTAATTTTTAGAAGAGTGGTTTTTAAAGTTTTCTTATTGATAGATTATACTTTTAAAAATGTTTTCATAATAATATATGTTCGTATGTGATAAGAAATCGGTAAATAACGACGGTAAGAACTTACGTGTTCAATTCAGATGTCGTACACAAATAAAAAAACCGGAATGCTAATTTATATGTAAGATTCAGTCAAGTTTTTAACAGTTACAAGATATATTGTCCCATTATGCATATATATCCTTTTTATTATGCATATTTACTTCTCAAACATATCATTTTCTCGGTAATTGATCTGACTTCAAATGTCAACTTTGAAAGTAAATATCTCCTATTTTGCAAATAAAATCAAAAATCTGACAAATACGATCTCTTCCGAAGTCTTTTATTTAGCATTTCTGAGTACTGTCATAATTGCCATACTTTCCAAAACTTTGCACCGACAGTTTTTGTAGACCCATCAATTTTGCCGAAAAATCGCCATTTTTTGTGTATGTGCGCATGCGCGGACTCTTTTTTCGGAGTCTTTTTCAGTCTCAATTTCTTACTTACGGAAACGCTGTTTTTGGAGTTCGTCTAGACTGTTTAGTGTGTCAATTATTTTTAGGGAAATGCAGAGCATTACAAATTACAATTCATTGTTGTCTTGCACATCAATTCATAATAACGAAACATATGATACACAGATAAGTTCATAAGTAAAATTCAGTGTGAACTTGTTTGTTGATAAAAGAGTTTAATTTGTCTTAAATCCATTTGCCTTCATAGTGTGTTTTTTCACTTGCAAAAATAAATGTCAGTTTCCTCTTCAACTTAGGGTAAGCTGACAGCAAGGGAGAGAATTCAGCTTCTTTTGGACCAAGGCTCATTTGTAGAATATGACATGTACTTGGAGCATGATTGCACTGACTTCGGAATGGAAAAGGAGAAGGTAGCTTCAGTGTCACTTAAAGCTTTAGTTAAGCATTGAGTGGAAAATTTTGGACATTCAACATGTCAAAATACGGAAGGCTGCTGTGCTGAAAATTTGAATAATGTGCATTAGCACAAATTTATCTGCACAACTGTCCATGTTATGACATGTTGAATGTACAAAATTTACAAATCAATGATTATATTTACATTTTTAAATTTCATGGTAGATTGATAAAATACTATTGTTTCTTTGAATTCAGTCGGTGCATTTTCTCGGCATTCAGCATCTGTGACATCAAAATAAAAATTATAAGTTACCTTTTGACTTCCCTGTCAATTTTATGGTGTTTTGAATGCCAAAGTTTTTCACACACTTTATATGGAAAAGGTCAAAACACATGTGTAATGTAAATAAGGGTACATGGGGGAAAAACTCATGATATGGACACAAGATGGATTTATCATCTCTGTATTCAGTCTCCAGTTTATCCTCTAAATTTTGTCATCAACATTGATTTCACAGATGTATGATTCCAATAGAAAACTAATTATTTTATCTTAAGATGATAATCCAGAAATTCTTAAACTGATTAATTATTTAGTTGATTAATACTGATGTATTGAAATATTATTGTAATGACCAGTAATGTCAGACAACATACTTTTTCAGTACCCTGGTGATAGTGTAGTCACAGGCAGAGGAACGATCAATGGGAGAGTGTGCTTTGTTTTCTCACAGGTGAGTCGGTCACAAAGTCTAGATAACTACCTTACAGGTAGGGTACACTTGAGCCTAGACAATGTAATAATGATGTAAAAACCATTATACAGTTATGGACTGTTTAAAAATTACAGGTTTGATTATAGGGTTGTCACCCAAGGGTGCTTGTGCCTGAGGGTAACAACCCTTCTCAGGTCTGATAATTTGTGATGTCTCCCTTCTAAACAGTTCATAATAGATTTATTTTCTTGAAGAATCTAAATTTGATAAAATAGAGTAGAAAATATCAGTCAAATATCAGTCAAACCTCTCATGTTCTCCTGCCCACTGCTCAGATTCCATACTTTCAAAATATGTCAACATACAACCTTGACGTCACTGTTGGAATTTATTGTTTACTGATCCCGCATATATAGTTATTTTGCTTATGACATTTTATTTTCATCTAAAGGGAGACAACTAGGGCTGTCACGGTTCCAAAATTTTTCCGGTCGGGTAGGTTCTGTAAATTTTCGGGTCAGTTTTGGGTTTTTCGGGTTGGGTATTAACATCTATTTTAAACCTTAATTTCATGAATTTAACTTGAAAAATCTTTATTTGTTACATTAAATTTACATTGAAAACAAGTCTTAACCATGCGAATGTCTAGACATCGGTGACTTGGCCTACTATTAGCCACAGCCTGACCATTCCTGCTTGTTTTGATAATTATCTAATATTTCCGTGACAATTGTTTTGTCATGGAATGAAGTAGATTTCAGTTGTGGTGTTTATTTATCACTGTTATCGTCATCATTCCTTTGATTTTTGACGCCATTTTTTGTATTGAACAGATTCTAATATATAAAGCAGACCCTAACCGAAATCCGGAAAAATGGAACTGGAACCGAACCGATCAACTTGGAACGCGGTTCTCGGTTATTTCGGGTACTTGTGACAGCCCTAGTGACAACACATTTGTAACCCTGCACGCTCACTTGTGCTATTTCATTGTCATCTAAGGGGAGAAAACACAGTTGTCACCCTGCATGTGAGGGAGACATCATGAATTGTCTCCCTGCATGTGACATGCTCTAAAACAATCAGATTGACTTTATTATTCTGAAGGATTACAAAACAGGTTGAACTGCAATTTCTGTTTAATGATGCTGCAGGGATTTACATTTGATTAACCTGTGGTATATTTAAGTTTGTTTGAAACATTGGTTGGATCTTTTTATAACAGAAAACCTTATTTGAATATATTTATCAGATTCTCTTCTTCCTTTTGGCATGTTTAGATTAGGCAGAATAAAATCATTAAGGACATATGCAACGTACCTTACCTACTGATAATTTTTTAAGATATTCTTAATTTAAGATTATAGTGCCATCAGATGTTCTTAGACAAAAAATCAGCTTGCATTACCAGGGGTTTCGAAAAGATATCAATTGATGAAAATTCTTGTATAATTCAAAGAAAAATATACAAAAATTACTAAACATATATTCTAGATGTTTTGTTTATCCAAATGTGTTTTAAAAGAAATGTACAACAACATATATAGACATTAAAATGTAGCACACAGTTCCTTTAAATATTGGAACTCTTCAACTCCAGGGAAAAAGACAATAAAGTTCAAATTACATTGCGTATGTCCTTAAACTTAAGTTTTTAGTGATCATGTAATGGTGAGTGGGTATATTGGCATGGTAACTCAGGGGAACATGTAAAGATCCTGAAACTTAATGGCACGCCATGGGTTTGAGTTCCAGTCTGTCAGAAATTTTTTCCCACCTGTTATGTATGATTTACTAATGTTCATAATTAAATGTTCAGACTTGAGACAAACCATACTAGCCAATCATTTGTCAGTACTTATATTGCTTTGGACAAATCAGTGTCAGAAAATTGCAGCAGGAAAATCTAGGCTCCCATACAAATGCACATCAGCTGGAAGGTTTTTAATGTGTGTGTTTGGGGGGGGGGGGGGGGGGGGCAAGGTGTAGTTATGTATTAATAAAACTTAATAATCAATGTATCTATCTCTTACTTAGGATTTCACAGTTTTTGGCGGTAGTTTGTCTGGGGCCCATGCCAAGAAGATTTGCAAGGTAAAGTATTATTGTACATAGGTGAAGAATTTCAGCTGTATCAACTGCTTGTTCATAGCATATAGCCAGTAGATATTTTTCTGTGTACTTGGATAACCAGTGTACAGAAACTGTCTCCTTACATAAGATATGAAAGCTAGTACCATGGCAACATAGGTCACACAGCTCTAGGTGGTAATGAGACCTTATATCATTTATATCAATTTATAACATGAAAAATTGACAACAATAGTACTGAAAAAATGCTTGTGTAAGCTTTAACATTGTGATTTCAAATCTGATGAAGTTTAGAGTTCTAATAATTTTATCCTTTAGTGCTTTGTTTTATTTAGTATCATTTGTGAAGACAAGTTTTTTTTAAAAATGACAATTCTGAAGGTTGAATTTGCATGAACATCTTTATAGATTTCATGACTCTCTGGTGTAAATCCTAGATTTGACAAGCATGTCTATTAATTTGAAACTTATGGTGCTGGTGAAAAGTGTGGAAAATGGATGATCAGTAAAAAAAGGAATAGAAATAGTTGCACTGAGACATTTAAACATTTGCAAATGTTGATAAATTTAACATATACAAAATTTTATGGTTAATGTTGATTGACAGATTATGGACCAGGCCATGTTAGTTGGAGCTCCTGTGATTGGACTGAATGATTCAGGCGGGGCCAGAATTCAGGAGGGGGTAGAATCTCTTGCTGGCTATGCAGATATCTTCCAGGTATGATGTATTAGTCAGTAATTTACGTAATATTGCTTACAGAGATCTTTATTAAATTCTGCATTAACTTACCTGTATTTAATATGCAAAACTAAATGTTTGTTACTTGTAATTCTCAAGGATGATTCATTCTGTTTTTTTCAGAGGAATGTCAATGCCTCAGGTGTAATTCCACAGATTTCCCTAATCATGGGTCCCTGTGCAGGTAAAGTTCTTCTCAATCAACACAGTCACACAACCTTGTCACATTACATGTATTGCAGCTTCTTTTTAGAAAATTTCATTGCTATTTGCAGGAGAAGTCTTTTATTATACTCATATGGTAGATACAGGTAAACTTAGTATTGAGACATCAAATATGTCAACAAGCTGGGATATGTCCATGTCTGTCCACAGTTCCAGCAGTATTTACTATATAAATGATTTGCAAAAATTCGGATGTGTTACCTTGGTAATGTTGACTACCCTACTTATGTCAACATATATTCACAGTCCTAAGAGGAAAATGTACCTGGTATATATCAAAATCCAGGCAATTTTCTGCTCTACTAGACCTAAATGTTTGTCAGATAGTCGCTTGTAATGCACAGACGATTCAGTGTATCTTGACACGGTAAGAAATTCATACCTTTGAAATTAATTCTATAGACTGTGTTTGTAGAAGAATCCCAAGCATCCTCGGCGGCCTATGAGATGTCAATAAACAGCCTTTGTAATATCATTGATAAATCCACTTGATTAATTGAATCAACCTTGATTCATGCATATGTTACATCACTGCTTTTATTCAAATACAAATATCTTTTAAAATTTTGTTCTTAAATGGATTTTCTTCCAGAAATTAAATAAGAAAAAATTATGCAATTATTTTTTTTTTCGTATCTGGGGTGCCAACTTCATAGGCTTCGAATTTTAAACAGTGCATTTCATATCCTGTTCTGACAAAAAGCAAACCTTACACACAGAATGCTGGATGGAAAACAGATAGAATGATAATCTTGATAGAATGATTTCAATATGGAGAAAGAACACATTTTATCAATAAGATGTGTTTTGAATAATTCCTTAGATTTTGTTATAAACAAGAAGTCTGAGTGAATGCTCACTTGTAATAGCCCCGCTCTGATGTGAATATACACTCTCATGTTGACAATGAATTCATACTAAAATGAATCCCACCATTTGACATGCCTAAAAAAAAGTGTGCTAAAATTTCAATCATCTGGGATAAGTAGTTGTTGAGAAAACTGCGACGAAAAGTTGTTACGGATAGACACATGGATAAACAGGAAGTTGACATCAGATTCCAACAAAAATTAATCCCACCATATGGCATGCCTCAACAAAAAGTATGCTAAAATTTCAAGCATCTGCGATGAGTAGTTGTTGAGAAAACTGCGACGAAAATTTGTTACGGACAGACGCACGGATAAACAGGAAGTTGACATTCGATTTAAACAAAAATGAATCCCACCATATGGCATGCCTAAGCAAAGATAATGCTAAAATTTCAAGCATCTCTGTTGAGTAGTTGTTGAGAAAACTGTGACGAAAATTTGATACGGACAGATGCACGGATAAACAGGAAGTTGACATCAGATTTAAACAAAAATGAATCTCACCATATGGCATGCCTAAGCAAAGATTGTGCTAAAATTTCAAGCATCTCTGATGAGTAGTTTCTGAGAAAACTGTGACGAAAATTTGTTACGGACAGACAACACAGACAGACAGACAGACAGACACACAAGGGTAAAACAGTTAAACCCCCTCTCCTTCGGAGCGGGGGTATAAAAATAGAGGAATTGCTGAAAACAAGACAAACTTCTAACTACTGAATACTCAATAAGCCTGTCTTTGTTCTGCTATGCAGTGAAATCTTGGATGTCAAGTCTCTATTCTGATATCTTGACACCCTAGGTATCTCGACATTTTCGATAGTCCCAACGATGTTGAGATACTGAAGTTTACCTATATTTACAATTTGTATTAAAATAAATAAACTTATTAAAACTTTGCTTGAAAAGTACTTGTTTAATCCTATAGATATTTATTTAAAGAAAAGATAATTTATGAAAGTTCATAAACACATGTATGAAGACTAATTAAACCTATTTTTGTCAACAGGAGGAGCTGTGTATTCTCCAGCCCTGACAGATTTTACTTTTATGGTTAAAGTTAGTATTAAACTGATATACATGTACATGTACTTACAAGTCAAGCATGTTAACTTAATGTGATGAAAAAAGGGAGATTCAGACCTTGAAAGAGGTAGCAATCTCCTGTGGTGTTTTATGCTCTGATTTTGAGAAGATATATATGTAAATATGGCCTCAAATGACCACCGCAATAATTAAAATCAAATATTTATTGCAATGAAGTAGACAAAAGTACCATTTACATAAATCTATGCTTTTCTTAGCTTTGAAAGGCTGCTTTAACCTTCTGAAGTGTGATCTTTGTTATATAACCTGGAAGTGATAATTTTCAAAGTTCATTATTTCTTAATTTAGCATATGTTGTCATTATACAACTCAGATCTAAAACTAGTTTGTATACTTCGTTTAAAATCAGTACAAAAATCTTCCAGTTCAGTATCTTAAAAACCAAGAATTTATGAGACCAAAAATATACATGTATTTTTTTATGAGAAAAGGGGTAGATTTTTTAATTGAAGCAGTATTCGGAGATGGAATAAAAAAGCAGCAGATTTTCACCTAAAGCGGTAGAGTTAGTATGTCAAAGTACCAGTACTATCTATTAATTACTCATGTTCTGAGTTACTGCATTTTAATTTCTGTGTTTATGTATTGTAGGATACATCATACCTGTTCATCACTGGTCCAGATGTAGTAAAGGCAAGTCATATATATATATATATTTACATCCCATATGTATTTTTTTTGCAAAGTATGTTGATTGAAAGCTTCGGCATTTTATTTGACATCAAAATTTTGAATGCCTTACAAGTGCAATCATAAAAAAAAATCAAAATTCACTTTCTTTTTTAACAGTAACAACTGTTCCCTCAATTTAGCTATACAATGTCTGATTAACTAGGGGGAGACCACAATGTAACTTGAACCTTCAACTCTCGGGTTTAAAATCGGACATTCTACAGACTGAGCTGGGCTCAGGACATTTTAGTAGATAGAAATAGATAACTAAATAGAAATTTTAGTGGGAACTTTATTGTAAGAAAAACTGATTGCCTTTAAAATTCAATAGACACTTTATAATAGTTTTATTCAGAGATGATTTTAATGGTTACTCCTCCATGGCACCTGATCCCACCTCTGTTTTCAGGGGTCCATATTGTCTTGGCTCTAATTTATTGTTTAAATGGACTTTTGAAAATGATCCCTGTTCATTATATTTACATTGCATTCTTAACCATTCAATGTAAAGGAAGGAAAAATTGATCAATGGTGACAACAGATTTATGAATAAGTTCCCAATTCTGTTGGAGGTTTCCGTAGTAAAAATTAGAAATAATCACTATAATAATACTCACTTACACATACATATTAATACAGGTACAGTAGAACTTTGGTTTCTTGAATACCGATATCTCGAATACCATGGATATGATGAATTGATTTGAAAGTCCCAACTACTTATTCTTTAAGTTATTTACCCTTAATATCTTGAATTCTCAGATATCTCGAAGTTTTTCCATGGTCCCAACGAGTTCAAAATAACGACATTTGACTGTATATACTTCTACATATTCATCTGTAATAAGAACACTGAACAGTATGGAACTGGTGAAGGTAGAAACAAATTAGAGGAAAACATACATGGAGATGCTTTGTGAAACACTCCAATTCTTGTATCCAAACTGATAGCTTAAGTATTAAGTGTGTAAAATTTACCCTTCTCTAAATCCTACTTCCACCTCCCTGTTGGTGACTAGGGGGCAGCAGACTTAGCTTGGCCAACAGAAGAGGTACACATACATGTACATGTATATTTGACTTAACTCTCACTCTAAAATGTCCACGTCATATTTAAAATTTTGCTAAATTGTTCAAAAAATTTCCAATGAAACATTCATTTTTTTTCCCTGGACACTAAAACATCCTGTTAATCTGCTAGAATGTCCAATGCCCATGCAATGTTCAATGGGTTAACCCACCAGCTAGTGCTTGTATGAGTGGGACCTTACTATGTACAACACAGGGCTACTTCAGACCCTATTATACCTCCTCCTCCTCATTTTTTGGAGAATTTTCACCCCCCAAGAAATCTCAAGCATAAGACTCTATCAACACTATTCACCATGTGGTTTTTTTTTTAGATATGTTTAGAACCAATGTGATAAAGGTGCATATCATTAACGCTACATTTTCAAAATTGTCTTTACCGCTACATACTCATTCCGCTACAAAAAAGGTTACATTACCGCTACATTTAAAAGTATACATTACCGCTAAATTGCCTCTTTCGTTAGCCAGTGGATTATGCATGTACAGATTGATTTAGTGTACAACATATATATGTACAGTGTACATGCATAAGACCTGTTTCCCCTGCTCATTACGGGGAGGTGAAAGTATAAGACTTTGATCACAATGTTTTTATGCCCCACCATGAATATAGTGTTTGTCATGTCCGTCTTCCGTCCTTCCGTCTGTCCTTCCGTCACACTTTGCACTTAGCTGTTCAAAGCTCAGTTTCAAAGAAACTATCCAAGATATTTTTATCAAACTTCAGATGCTGATAGATATTGATGAGAGCTATGCAACTGCATCAACATTTTTTGACCTTGACCTTTCATTTGACCATGACCTCACTTTTCTTAAATTAGTGTTTAGCTCAGTTTTAATGAAATCATTCAAGATAGTGTAATCAAACTTCATATGTTGATACATACTGATGTAAGCTATGCAACTGCATCAGTATTTTTTGACCTTGACCATTCCTTTGACCTTGACCTCACTTTTCTTAAATTAGTGTTTAGCTCAGTTTTAATGAAATCATTCAAGATATTTTTATCAAACTTCATATACTGATACATACTGATGAGGGCTTTTCAACTGCATCAATATTTTTTGACCTTGACTTTTCCTTTGACCTTGACCTCACTTTTCTTAAATTAGTGTTTAGCCATATGTTAATACATACTGATGAGAGCTATTCAACTGCATCAACATTTTTTGACCTTGACCATTCCTTTGACCTTGACCTCACTTTTCTTAAATTAGTGTCAAACTTCATATGCTGATACATACTGATGTAAGCTATTCAACTGCATCAATATTTTTTGACCTTGACCTTTCCTTTGACCTTGACCTCACCTTTTTCAATTTGTGTTTAACTCAGTTTTAAAGAAAACATTCATAATATTTTTATCAAACTTCATATGCTAATACATATTGATGTAACCTTTCCAATAGCTGCAATAATGTAGCCCTCTCCGATTTTTTTAAATCTGATATTTTCTGGAGAGGGCTACAATTCCACTGCATCTCCGTAATGGTGCAAATATATTTTTTAGATACGGGCGACTGCAGGCAAAATAAATTGTTTTTGCATTCAACTTACTTCCAATAAGACGGAATTTTTATTCACTATCAACATCATAGCCCATTATATGTGAAAACCAAGTAAAATAAATCTGCGTGTTTCCCAGTCGTTCTCCTCTATAGCCATGACACTTCTCGCGTGATGTACTGAGACTTGCGCTTGAAATTTAGAATCACTTGATAAAGTAAATGTCGGTGTTGATAAATGTTTGTGTTGTATGATATCACTAAACATTGATAAATAAAAGCATTCCATGTAATATTTTTTCATAAACAGTGATATTTATGCTTAAAATAAGGGAAATCCAAAACAGATCCGCTCCCCTAGATCCCGAATTTTCATTGGTTGTTCCAAAATAAAATCGATCAAGGTCAGTAAACATGGCGGATAAATTCAAGTTGTGTTGTTGACATACACGAAAAATAACAGATATACGGATTGTTCTGTATATTTTTGGATCAATTCATGTCTTGCATAACTACATTTTATGAGTTCAGGTAAGTAATGTTAATAAAATACCTGATTACTGATAATTTGAGTCGAAATCTGTGCGGTAGTAAATCACTCCCGCACTTGCACCATTACGGAGATCCTTAGGAGTTGTGGCCCTCTCCCCCCCCCCCCCCAAAAAAAAAAAAAAAAAAATCGGAGAGGGCTACATTATTGCAGCTACCTTTCCAACTGCATCAACATTTTTTGACCTTGATCTTTCCTTTGACCTTAACTTCATTTATTTTAAATTAGTGTTTAGCTCAGTTTTAAATAAACCATTCAAAATATTTTTATCAAACTTAAATATGCTGATATGTATTTGTGAAAAGTATTCAACTGCATCAAAAACATTTGACCTTGAACTTTCCTGTGACCTTGACCTCACTTTTCTTAGATTTGCATTTTGCTTAATTTTAAAGAAACCATTTAAGATATATTTATGTAAGTTTATGCATTTAATATACATAATGTGGCGAGAATTTATCATCTATATCCAACTTTTTAGATATCAGTTTCAATTTTAAAGAAACTATTCAAGATATTCTCATCAAATTTCATACACTAATACAAATTTTCTTGTTGCATTACTAATATACCCATGGCGGGACATTCATGTCCTATGGACATATTTCTAGTTGTTTTTTTTTTCGATTTTAATTTAAAACCTATTTTATTTAATAAAATTTCTAGAAAGTGTTAAAACTGAGCATTATTCATGGATAAAACACATAATCTTTACATAATTGGTAGAGCTTTGAAGGCCATTTGCTTGACGTACTGCTGTCTGGAAATCTCTTATATAAATTATAATGAATAGAACTTATATTCTGTGTCAATGCTAGCTGATTCGATATGTAGTGGTAATGAGCTGTAATCGGCAATAGTCTTATTGATAAAATTTTTTCGCAATGGGTTGTCCACTACTCTCAAATTTAATATTAAATCTCTACCAATGGAATTGAAGGGTTAACACTCTAGGTAAGAGCATGACCTCACTGAGTAAAATCAAAGCCACTTCAAACTCTTATTTTCATGTCTCAGTACCTTGGATATATTTAAGTTTGCTGACAGTTTTACTGAGGCCAAGTACTGACTGTGTATTATGCAGAATTGTTTTATTACTTTTCTTAGTAGTTTTGAATTTTTTTTTTTTTTGCAACATGTACATATAAATTTCATGAAATTTCCATCCCATAATGAGATTAAGTTCTGTTATTTAAGTGTGGTGACAATATCACAAAACAACGCAAAAATTAAATTCTCACAAACGAAATGTGATTTAAAGTAATACATGTAACACTGCATTAGCTGACCACTGTGAAATTTAAAAAAAAATATGATTTTTAGATTAAGAAATTGCCTACCAGATATATCTCGGTATATAATTAAACAATTTAATTAATAAGACTATTGAGGAAGACCATTTCCCTGTTGTTAATAATTATTCATAAACTTCCTTCAACTATACATGAAAAACAAGTATTAAACTATTCTGAATATTTCAGGAATGCAGATTATAATAATTTTACCTTCATATCGGAACTCTTCAAAGGAACGAAATTAAAACCTAGAAGTATTTAATGTGTTTTATCATTCATCTGAACAGAGGCTGTAAATGCTCTGTAAGTGCTGTATAGAATAAGAAATGATGAATATTACTTTGGTGAGCTTAAGTCATCCTCTGTTTACATGTATAGCAGGACAATTTGAAATAATGAATGTTTATTTATACAAAAAGTGAGTGAAAACTTTGGCACACAAGCAAAATATTATGTCACAGCACTGGTAGTTATTTTGTGGTACTTAATTACATTAACATCCTTTACATTTTAAACTGTATGATGTAATTCAAACATCAAATATACAATTGAGCCTTGTATTAAATGCACATTTCTTTTGAGCTGTTTGAAAACACTAGATGATCAATCTTTTGGCATGAACAGTGGGAGGGATTTCTTAATGATGTTTTTGTAATTTGACACCAGTTTCTCGGCATATTTCAATATTGTGTCATCCCTTACTTCAGGTAAACACCTGGCTTCAGAATCAAAGTGTTTGGCACATGATCTGTAGTGGTGGATCTTAGCAATGGTGGGGTCCACATCAGTTACAAACATTGAATGTTTTAGGTGTCTACTGACATGGTGAATACCCATCTCCTCAACTTTTAAGGGCTGGACAATCAATTTGGTTCTTGTGGAACTGAAAGATCTTGTTCTTACAAGGAGCTGTAGATAAGTCAAATACTGCTCTGTGTCAAGAATTTGATTGGGAGCAAAAAAGGCACTCTTGAATGCCATCCCAGTATTTACAGAATCACTGTAGTTTCCAGCAGATTCCAGTTCTTGAATCATCTCTAGTAGGGTATAGTTGATGGTTGGAATGATGAATTCATCAAGGTCCACAAAAGTGAGGTAGTGGAATTGAGACATGTTTCGATAGAGACAATCCTGAATGGCCAGTAACTGACCATGGTACCAGATCTCAGTGTTCTGTATGTGGTCAGGAAGTCTCCAGTTCATCAGAGTAACCTCCCCTTTTGACTTGTAGAAATTCAAGAGGTGGCCAATTGACGGTGAAATGTCATGGAGATAAAAAGTAAAGTGAGATGCTCCTAAAATTTTCCATAGCTCAATGAATTGGATCAAAGCTGATATTGACAGTTCTCCAAATAATGGAGGCACACAGAGGCCTAGCTTGTGTCTATGTATAGGTTTGCTGAATGTTGGAGGTCCTACCTTTACTTTCACCATTGGACCTCCAATACATGATAGAGACATATAAAAGAGGTCAGTGTTACGTTGTTTGTATTTAGTCAAAACTGAGATTGGAATGTTACACTCGTACACCCATCCTCCGTATTGTCTACCATGATTTTCACTCATTTCTCTGTATGTTGCAGTAATGTTTCTGTACAGTTTCCCACTACTTCTGAAATGACATTGTATTTCAGCATCTCCCTGACGTTTTCTTAAGACCATCATCCTGACTTTATGGTTGTCAGGTTTTCTGTTTTCTAAATATGTTGAGTACACGTACACATTATGTCCTAGCTTTTTGAAGGCTGATTTTTTCTTTATTGGAGGATCATTATGGATTTTCCCATGATCCTGAGGTATTTTTAAGTGTGGAGCCTCTTTTTGAATGTGGAAGATCCACTTTTGACCCAGAATTCCGTCCATGCCGGGATCATTTGGTGGAACGATAACTTCCTCCTCTTGATCCTCAGTGTAAGGAATCCCGATCTGTATCAGGAGCATGACTCCTGTATACAACAGGAGAATCATGGGTACGGTGAATCGTAGCGTTGTTGTTCGGAGCCTCATAATGCATGACAAGATCACCATGAAAAGATTGAATTGTATAGGGTCCTTCTTACACTGTCGAATATTGTATAGGATCCTTCTTACACTGTCATATATTGTATAGGGTATGTCTTGCTCTGTCATATATTGTGTCAGCATAGGGAAGTAAACACTGTAGCAGACATCGTGTTAAATATTAAATGAAGTCTCTTCTTCCCTTTATCCACTCCAGCCCTTTGCTCACAGTGTAAGGTTTATTGGAAGCCATTTTTAACATTTTATAGAGGACCCAGTAAGGTTGCTATTGTGGCAGACAACTTAGTTCCATAGCAATAGTGATGCACAGAATATTGTATATGCTGCATAGTATATATTCCGAAACTTCAAATTTTAATATTTAGGTGAATCCTGAGATGTTGTCAAAATACATCAAAATTCTCCCATTCATTGACTGTGTAACAAACTGTAATTGAAGAAAATATTTAAAAATCTACAAAGATAAATTCTGAATGTTGTATGTGATGTGTCAGATTTAACCATTAAACGTTAAATTACGTAACTTTAGAAAATTTTCTAAACTGTCCAGTGCAGCTGTATTAATTACTTGTAACTATACAACTTGAGAATGATGAATTCATTTCAAAAAGAAAGTTAACATCCAGGAATACGGTTTAATTACATGTAGTTCTACGTACTTGTTCTGGTGTACAGTATGAAGTTACTTGATATGATGACTGACAACATATAGACATTCTAGTTTTTAGCATTGTGAATTATTAACCATACTTCAGTCATAAACTGAAAGCTACAATTACATATGATTTATCATCTGCTCTAACAAGATTTAACAATCTTACCAGACTAAGGATTTAGTAAAACCAGCAGTATAAATCCACCATTGAGAGTGCCTCAGATCTGTCTGTTGAAACTTCCCAGCATCTGATAAGTTTTTAATCTCCTCTTGATGGAGGCAGTGAGGGGCTCATTAGGGGGAAATTCCAGGCATTTTGAGTGAGGGACACCATGGGAGCACAATTATCAGAGTTTGCACTAGTGCTCTCTGCATAACAAAATTTTTTTTATCATAATGATTTATCTTTAATGACCTCAAGGTCTGTTTTTAAGACTCTTATGACTTTGATATAAGATCCCTAGATTTGGTTTACTTGACACTCATTGACACTAGTAAGTGCAGCTGGTGATATAATGCTTGAAAGTCTAGACATGGTGATACAGTCATAACTTTTATCCCTGAAAAGGGAGAGAGATATGTAAACAGATAGATATATCACCAGATTATTGGCACAGCTGTAGTGATAAGCTGGGATTCTGGACCTGATAAAATGTTAACATCTCCTTAGCAGGGTTAGAAACTCCCTAAAATTACAACTCGCAAATAATTGCGAGTACCAAGAAAGTGAACTCGCAATTTTATAAGACTACTCGCAATTTTCATATAAAGTTAAATTATATATAAATTAAATACATGCTGTACATGTAACTTAAGGAAAAAGTAACTACTGTACAATACACAAAATACAACTACAGTGTAACTTTTAGTTAAATTACTGATTTAAATCAAAAGCATTGTGTTCTGTCATACTATGTAATTTTGTTACAGTTTCAATGCAAAAAAATTAACTCGCAAGTTTTTGCGAGTTACCTAATTTTTAACTCGCAATTTGGGAATTCTAACTCGCGTTTTGCGAGTTGTATATAGTGAATTTCGAACCCTGCTTAGGGATTTCTCCACAAATGATTGCCACATTGAAGAATTTGCATTATATGACATGAATTAATTGTTAATTTGTAGTAATACTTTAAACACTTTTAGATATAGTAATTCAAGAAAATATAAAAACATCTAAATATATGTACAGAAAAAAGAAATAAGAAATATCATCTATATTTAAAGGAATCCCAAAGAAAATGTTACATACTTCCATGATGAAATTTTAAATATTCTTCAATTTGTGTTACTAATCATTTACATAAACATATACAGGTAGTGCATCACTGAAAAGAAATGGGAACTTTTTCCTCATGCTTGACACGCAGTACAGTTAAGGTGCACAATGGAAAAATCGGCGATTTTTTTATGTTATAAAATATATATTCTTTTTCAGGATGGTGATTCTTTTTTGTACTTTACTAATATCGGACAAATGTGATTATGGTTAATAACTACATATTGAGGACAATTAGATTTTCTATTTAGACTTGTCACGTGATGAGCCGGTCACGTGATGTTTGCACATGTACTTGCAGTATTGAGGTCACCTATAAATTTCAATAGTGCAAGGGCATAACCAAGTTAAAATTCGAAGTTTAATTTTTAAATAGTTTCAACACCCATTGTAGTTTGTGAAAAAAGCTGCAATCCTATATAGATTCTACTCTTTCATTGTTAAAATCATATTTGTATGAACGCATACTGATGTTTTTTGCTGGTCAGCTTCATTAGATATAGAAATAATTAATTCAGTTTCAAGATTTCAACAAGATCGCGGCACTTTTCAAATAGCTTAATACTTCTAGAGTTTATGATTAAAAACTTGTCATGATCATTGAGGGTATGCCCTTGCACTAGATTGATTTATTAAGACCCTTAGGTTATCCTCCAATGTACCTGCATACAAATATACGGTAGTATCCGTTAAATAGGAAATGTACGGAAAATATATGAACAAAATTATAAAAAGGACATTGTATCTAAATTAATGGCCTCTTAAAAATCTGAAAATAATATTTTATATAATTATATAATACATTTCTTCATTTTAAAAATATTACTTGATCCGCCTCTCACTGCATACAAACTGCATCAAGTTTTACAGAATGACGTCATATCGACAAGTGCAGTGTGATCAGTGACTTGTTTAAACCTTGCTATGTGGGAATTAACTAACAACAAAAACGCATGTTATAATAAGTTTTGATGTAGTTTAGTTATCTCATACAGTTTAAAATCGCAAATCACTTCATTTTTTGCTATTTTTAAGGATTGATAGTTTTGTGTGATGTCAGAGTTAATATTTCCCGTAAAAATTAGGCCCCGCCTCCTTTTGTAGCCTTAACTGTGCTGCACAGTGATTGTTGTGGATAATATTTATATTTCAAATAAAAGATTTTGTGTTTCTATGGTTCTTCATATTGGAAGGGATAGCTGGTGCACATTTATTATTCAATCCTTTATTGCACTACAGGTATTGTTGATCATGCAATCTTTGATTTTTTTCAAACATTTACTTGTCTGTGTGACTCGATATTTGCCGTATGACCTATTTGACATGTGACCAAGTGTCAAAGTCAATATACAGTTGAACTTGGTTATCTCGAACACAGATATCTAAAATATCTGGGATATGTCGAAGTGATTTGGTAGTCCAAACCACATTTTCTTTATATCCTTACCTCCATCCTCTTAAATCTCGATATCTTGAAGTTTAATCTCAGTCCCTTGGAGTTCTTTACGAAGTTTGACTGTACATGTATTTCAGTTATGTCAGATATGATTTAAATCTTTACATTTTAAAGAATTCTGTCTGATTATTCATAACTTTCTCATTTCTTTCCCCCCATTTTATTCCCCAGCTTTCGTAATTTTAATTTAATGTCAAGAAGAATTTTTATATAAATTTCTATGTTGTAGTCTGTTACCGGGGAAACTGTCACTCAAGAGGAGCTTGGTGGAGCCAAAACTCACACAGTAACCTCAGGTAGGTATATACATCGTGAATGTAAAAATATAAGTATGAGAGGGATTTACTTTTTATATTGAACTGTTATATTAAGTTAATTATTTCATGAATTGAAAGCTCATGAGCTTTTCTGATCACTCATTGTCTAGTGTGTCTGTCTGTCTCTTTGTAAACTTTCACAAAACATCATATAATTAAGTTATCGAGATTCTAAATTATTCAGATGAAGAGCCAAGCCCTCATTCGAAGGGGAGATAATCAAGAAAAGGCAAAAATAGGGTGGGGTCTTTAACAAATCTTCTTCTCAAGAACCACTGAGCCAGAAAAGGTGAAACTTATGTGAAAGCTTCCTGAGGTAGTGTTGATTCTAAATTGTTCAAATCATGGCCCCCGGAGATAGGATGGGGACACAATAGAAGATCAAAGTTGTACATGTACATTGGATCATATAGGAAAATTAAAAAAAAAAATCTCCTCAAGAACCATTGGTCAGATAAGGTAAAACATATGTGAAGGCTTTATGAGGAAGTGTAGGTTCTAAATTGTTCAACTCATGGCCACCTTGGCTAGGATGGGACCACGGTAGGGGAACAAAGTTGTACATTAATGTATATAGGAATAAATCTTTGAAAATCTTTTTGTCAAGAACTCCTGGGCGAGGAAAGGTGAAATTTATTTGAAAGCTTCCTGACATATTGAGTAGATTTTAAATATTTTTTAAAGAATGGCATCTGTGTGTAGGGTGGAGCCACCATAGGGGAACAAAATTTTACATTGAAATAAACAGGAAAATTAAAAATCTCAAGAAATTTATATGTAAGCTTTTTGACATATTGTAGATTCTAAATTAATGAAAGCATATGTCATCTGGGTGTATTATGGGGCCACAACAGGAAAACAAAGTTTTACATTGGAATAAACAGGAAAATTTAGAATTGTCTCAAGAACTACAGAACCAGAAAAAGTGAAACTTATATGTAAAAGCTTTCTGACATAGTGTAGATTCTAAATTGTTCAAAGCATAACATTTGGGAGTAAGGCAGGGCCACAATAAGGGGTCAAAGTTTTACATTGGACCATAGAAGAAACTTTTCAAAAATTCTTGCAAGAACCACAATAGTACAATTAATTTGCAAACATTTCTAAGGTGTGTGGATTCAATTGTTTTATTTTTTGAATTATAGACCGTGGGTTAGAGATGACTTAAAATTGGGATCAAATTTTACATATTTGTATATAATATAGGAAAAGAATTTTCTTCTCCAGATCTGCAAGGCCATGTTAGTCATATTCCTATTGAACCATCCCCATGTTGTGTAGATTCAGAGACCCCTTAAAAGTAGGGGCCATAATTTTGAGTCACAGTTTTTCACTGGAATGTAAAGGGGAAAAATCTCGCTTACAGCAGGGCTTACTTAGTGAGCATTGTGGCCCATGGGCGTCTCATTTAATTTTAGTCTTTGGTAAATGTAGCTCTTTAAGCATTTGAGAATGAATAAATAAAAGTTAACCTATTCATTATTTACTTTTTGTCTTTGTTAGGTGTGGCTCATGGAGCATTTGAGAATGATGTTGAGACCCTACTGCAAGTCCGGGACTTTTTTAATTTTTTGCCCCTCAGTAATCAGGACCCCTCTCCCATCAGGGACTGCAGTGACCCTTGGTAAGGAGGAGCTGAATTTTCTAAACAGAAGGATTGTGTAATCCCAGAGTTGAATTGGGGGTTAACTTACAAGGAATGAGAAGCCAGTGTTGCATAAGTAACATTGAAAGCATTTTTATAGCATTTTGAAGGAAAAGCACTGTTTGGTCCCTTTCACCTTCCTAAAAACAGACCTCCTCAAAAAAATTGAAAAGAGTTCTTTCTTTTTAATTTTTTTTCCTTCTTTGAACAACAAACACAATCATGGAAAGAAATGTGTCTTGCCCCCAGGAAAAAAATACTAGTTTATATTACATGTAAATCCCTGTTAGCATATGTACATGTACAGTAACACACTCTTATAAAGAAGTGCCAGGGACTTACAATTTTGCTTCATTATAAATGTAATTTGATACAACCGTTAATTTCACAATGTATTTTAAAGCCACTGGGAATGAAATCACTTTGATTTAAGCATTTATTCATTACATTACAAGTATGTTTGCTACATATATATTATATGAGCATGTTTTACTGTATAATGTATTGCAGTCTCAAATTCTCTGTGTACATTTGTTTTCTATGGACTTGTATTGGGTAAATTCTTATGTAAAATGACATTATTCTCTGATGCAGGGATAGAGAGGTTGCAGGATTAGACACAGTTGTTCCCCTTGAAACAACAGCGGCGTATGACATCAAAGATGTTATTACTGGGGTAGGGAGAAATGTAAAATTTTATCACAGTAATAAATGGAACGAATTTACAAAATACAAGAACTTAAAGAGACAAAAATAGAACAAGGGACATAATATTATAAACTTTGAGAAAACTGCTTGAATCCTTTTAATTTGAAAATGTTAGGATGACTGTTTAAATGCTCTTTGTATATACCAGTTTACAGTATTAGAAATAGTCATACTCTGCTGTATCAGTATTGTAATGTTGTATATTAATTAACTGAGATAAAATTAACCCTTGACCTACCTTCAGCCCTTCTGATTTCTGATTGGACTATTTCTTCAGGTAGCCGATGATTCAGAGTTCTTTGAAATTATGCCTATGTATGCCAAGAACATTGTTGTTGGGTTTGCTAGAATGAATGGCAGAACAGTTGGTATGGTGGGGAATCAGCCAAAAGTTGCTGCAGGTGAGGTGTATCTGATTTTAACGTCATGTGACATCAAATTTATATGTAAATTCTCATTATGGGGTCATTTTGGCACGATAAATGTTAAAATGTGCGAAGGAATTTCAACAATTTATTGATTATTAAGGATGTTGTTCTTCTAAACTTTCTGTAAATTCTTTATATTGTCTTTTATCTAACAGGTTGTTTAGATATTAATGCCTCAGTGAAGGGTGCTCGATTTGTCAGATTCTGTGATGCATTCAATATTCCTTTGGTGACATTTGTGGACGTGCCAGGATTTTTACCAGGTTTGACAGAAATATGTCAGAATAGTTTATACAAGATACTGAATTTTTGTCCATCTTCATGCTGGATAGTGACCATATGAACAGACCATGTGTTTCTTATAAGTTCTACAACATACTGTAGATCATTAAATTTTGGAGACACCTTATTTTTGCGAGATTGTTGTATGGTATTTATAAAAAACAAAATTTTCACGAATTTTGGTTATTGTGTTATATAATCTTTAGTAGAATTATATGCGAGAATGACATTTTTCACGAGCAGACAGTCTTGCGCAATTATGCAAAAAATAAAATTCTTGTGAATAAAAAATTATTTACAATAAACTTGATAATTTTGTTTAAAAAATCAGATGTTATTTCTCCTGAAACCTAGAATTTGTAAATGATTTCCTGCTTGATACTGATATTATTTTTTTTTTTTTTTTACCAGGTATTGGACAGGAGTATGGAGGAATTATAAGACATGGAGCCAAGCTTTTATTTGCCTATGCTGAGGCCACTGTTCCTAAGATCACAGTTATTACTCGAAAGGTGGGGCTTTATCACATACCAAAATATGGAATTGATGTGTAGCATATCAAGAAAATGTTATGTACATTATAACTCATGTATTCCATATACAGTTATAAAAATTCTCTGTTTTGGAAATCATATCTTTCCACTGGAAGTACAAATCAGCTGATGTAGTTTGTCTTGTGTGGAATGTGAGATAATTACTGCCACTGTAAAAAAAAATTGACAACGTATACTTACATAAGCAATAAAAAAAGCTGTAGATGTTTAAGTGCTTGAAAACAGTCCCAGTTTCTTTGAAAGGACAAGATTCATTATGAATAGAATGTAGTTTTTAAAAGATTTTATAATTGGAGGAACTTGGTCTTAAAGGTTAATGTGATAAGGGAGATTACTCTGATATATCTACAGAACTTATTTCTGTTGTTGTTCAGTTTCTCAAATACTGAACAATTTACATTCAAAGATTTATTACTATTTAAATACTCTGCATTTGTTGTCAAAATATCTTCTAAATTATATTGGCTTTTTCCCCCCAATCATGACATTTTTTAGTAAATATTGACATAATTGCAACAAAACAACCCAAACAAAAGCATTCCACCTTAAGAAGAACCACAGAGTAATAGTTTTTGAAAGTCATATTCTTTAAATTTTATAAAGTTGTTCTCTGTACATTTTTTAAAGGTTTAATTTGCTCATTTATGTATATTTGAATACAGTACAATTCGTTTATTATCATAGTTTATTTGTCAAGCCAAAACTTTATAATAAGCGACTTTTATAATAACCATAGTCGGCTGAAATTCATGTCGGACGGCTGACGATACGACGTTTGTGTAAATTATTGGATGTATTATACATCTTACGTTACATATAATTTCGATTTTTTAGGTTTATTTGAAATACAAGTTAACTGACATATCATTTCACAATATTTACTTACTGTTTCAACTTTTTATTATAAATAAATTCACTTAAATAAAGCTTAATACGCTTCAAACTCATTCTTCTAGATCCCTTGGCATCCATCTTGTTTATTTTGATCTACTTTCATTTTTAATTTATGGTCAATTCAAATTACCAATGTTTCGTTTCGTATTTTTTTTTTTGGTTTATTTTTTTGGTCACATATTAAATAAATCAACACAGCAACAAAGCATGCATTCAAATTGTTTCTTTTATTCATCCAAAGTAGACATAAAAAAATTTACCTATTTACACCTAATGTCGCACTGAAGTGTGACTAATCTCCCCAGTCTTTCACTATCGGCAAATTTCAAAGTGAAAATCAAGCCATTGTGTATAGACAAGCGACAGTGCATGAACCACAGGTGTAGATAGGTGTTATATTTTGTTTTGTTGATTGTCCCAAGAGTGAAAAGGTGTGAAAAAAATATTACGGACGGACATTTTCTATTATAGTAAGCGAAGTGTATACCTTTACCTATGATAATAACAGACAAAATTTATAATGAATTATTAAGAAATGGTTTTGTGTTTCAGATATCTATGATAAAAAAAGAAGTATGATATAAAACCGGTATGATAAAAAACGAATTGTACTGTATTTCAATTATCTATTTAGGCTTATGGTGGAGCCTATGATGTGATGAGCTCTAAACATCTTAGGGGTGATACAAACTATGCCTGGCCAACAGCAGAAGTAGCGGTCATGGGGGCAAAGGTCAGTACTTTTGATGTCTAGTTATGTGAAGCATCTTCATTTTGTTCTCTGATAAAGGTATTTAAAAGGAAATAGATAAAACTATAATTATGTTATCTGTTGGTTATCTAAGAGCATACAAACTGACATCACAAAAATGTATGAAATGTACAATATATATCAATACATACTAAGTTTCCACTTTTTAAGAACACACTGCAGGTCCTATATGGAAACTAAATTACATGTTTATACTGTGAGACTGTGAACTATCAGTTTTTGTCATACAGTGTTATATTTTCCCCTGACAGGGAGCTGTCTCGATCATTTTCCGAGGTAAAGACCAGGAGAAGAATGAGGCGGAGTATGTGGAGAAGTTTGCCAATCCTTTCCCAGCCTCCAAAAGAGGTGAGAATTTCAATATCATACATAGAACATTTAGAGTTTGTTCTGTCAGAATCTCATGAACTTTGTGGTCAAATGGGGTTCATGATACATATACCTCGTAGCTACTTATGTGGTATTTGGATTCAAAGAGGTTAATAATTTTGGTTTTCCAAATTAAGCATTTCAAAGGGAACTTTATACCGGTAATGAATCGTCATTTTAGGAATGACTTGAATTTTGACTTAAGTCTAAGACTAAGACTGCTTCATGAGCTTAGGGCATAAAGACTTTGTGGCAATAATATGAAGGAACAACTACGTTATGCAGTACTCATGTGATTTCTTTGGTTAATAATGAAGTTATGCAGTATTGAATAGTCTTTGAATACATATCACAAATCTTTTAATTACTAGATACCAATTTAGGTATTGAGGACCAACTTCATTAAAAACCCATAAAAAAAATCCTTTTCTATTTCTGTACAGGTTTTGTGGATGACATCATTGAGCCCCGTTCCACAAGGAGACAGGTTTGTTTGGACCTTGATATGTTAGCCAGTAAAAAGCTGGCCAATCCATGGAAAAAACATGCCAACATGCCACTCTAACCACGGGGCCTCTTAAAGTTAACTCGTGTTTTACTGCCGCGATGCATAATCATTATGTCCAGTGCTATAGACACCATAAGCTTTCTGCTTGACATTAGAACTTATTTATGCATTTAGCAGGATCTTTAAATAAGGATTGAAAACCTGTGTAACTGTGAAATATTTGTGATAATGTGTTTAGATGTTGGCATTATTAATGATGATTGTTGTGTGACACTATGGAAAGAGTTGCTCTCTGTGAATGACTTGAATTTTCAATTGGACTGATATTTACAAAAGAAACTATAAATAAGTACTTTTAGCCTCGTTTGTCATTGTTTCCTGCATTACAGTGTATATGTAAAGTCCTTGAATGTAAAACTTACCTTTACAGCATCAAGAAATACATAAAAAAGAAAATTTTGGTTAATGAGATCAAAAATAATATATTTTGCCAAGTATTGTAGTGTACATGTACATGATATGGAATATAACAAAGCTAATTGTTATACCTTTAAGAATTGTTTCCTATATAAATCTATTCTAGAAAAGTTTTCAATGTTTTACTGCACAGTAAAAAAAAAATCGATGTTTGACAGCAGAGTGAGATATTGGACCACTTATGTCACACTCTGGGCAGGATCAGCTAAATCTCATTTACATTCATTGGTGTTCGACAATGACAGAATTAACCTAGTTTTACTGTGTGCGGGTAAAGGAAATTTACATCATGGAAGCCACCACAAGATAAATGTATGTCAAAAAAAGTGTAGCAAAATATTGATTGTGTTTTTAGGCAAAATGTGTTTTATTTTCCCTCGGATTGAAATGTCACACATTCATAGGTTTAAACATAACAGGCAACTATATATCTATGTCCATCTAGTGAGAATCAATATCGGGCAATATGGCCAACCTTTTACGTTTACATTTCGACATTAGAATCATTTATTACGGAAAACTTTTTCCAGGTTTTCGTTTTGAAATTAGAGTAGCAACCCTTTAAAAAATGATGTCAGGTTTGTTATGACTGCATCACAAATGATGGTAACGTTGAGTTTTGCTCAAACAAGAAAGGAAAAACGCTTTGAGTAAGAACTTTTAAAAACAAATTATTAAAAGCAAAGATGCCTCAAAGAATTATCAAGATTACATGACCGTAAAAGGCAAGATTGATAATTTTGAAGAGATGGAGTCAGTGAAATTGGACGAAACATGATACTGACGATAGATAATCGAGATGTTAAGACACTTAAATTTTGAACTGAAATATGTTAAATTCAATCACCTTGATCTTCACTTCTTGCAGGCCCATTATACTATGGGGGCCTGGAGGGGGGGGGGCTTCCACTGTTTTGAGAATAGCGTTTTGCTGTAGAGTATTGTACATCATACAAAAGTCGTCATTCATTTGGCTCTGCCTCGCCATCTGTGATCAACCTGATATATTTCTGTAGACAGCCAGTAACAAACCTAATAAGTAATATTGTCGACCCCTTGAACCAAACCGTTTGCCTTCGGCATAACAGCTTGGGGCAGACAGTTTGATTCTTGGGTCCAACAAAACGCACATTGCCCTCAGACCCAGTCAATAAATGTATAATGATCTACAGAGCAGGCTAAATAACACTTCATTTTGAATTGGGCTTTTTCAATTTTTTATACATATATGTATATTTGTACGGAAGCCCGTTGAGGCCAATTCAGAGAAAGAAATATTTTTTATTGCGTTTAAACGCAATAATTATTGCGTTTAATTGCAAAACATTGCGTTTAATCGCAATAATCATTGCATTTAAACGCAAAAGATTGCATTTAATCGCAATGTATATTGCGTTTAAACGCAAAACACTTTGCGTTTAATCTCAAAAGATTGCGATTAAACGCAATCTTTTGCATTTAAACGCAATACTTTTGCGATTAAACGCAATAATTTTTGCGTTTAATCGCAATGATATTTTTGCGTTTAAACGCAATAATTTTTGCGATTAAACGCAATACTGTTGCGTTTAATCGCAATAATTTTTGTGTTTAAACGCAATACTTTTGCGATTAAATGCAATACTTTTGCGTTTAATCGCAGTAATTTTTGCATTTAAATGCAATACTTTTGCGATTAAACGCAATACATTTCGCGTTTAAACGCAATAATCTTTGCGTTCAAAGGCAATAATCTTTGTGTTTAAAGGCAGTCATTTGTATCAAACCTTGCAGAGTACAATGGACCCACGCATACTTATATCTTTTATTTCTTTCTCTTTTTACTTATTAGGAAATTGTGTGTTGTCTTTATAGAATCAGATTTCTCCGAGCAAACACTCTCTGAAAGGAATCACTAATAAGAATTTATAGAGGAGATAAAAAATGTCGGGTTGTGAAAACAAAGGAATCCTAAGAACGAGACATGTCTTAAGCTTATTCTCTACATTTTTAATGAAGTTTCGATCAGTTGTTCTGCTAAAATAAACTGTCCCATACGTTGCAGTCACAAGTTCAAATCATGTATAAAGGGATTTTTGGAAAGGACTGAGGAAATGTTGGAATTACGTACAACATGATGAAGTATTTAGACTTCAATGTACATTCATAACCCTTCCTATGGTTGCATACAGTAAACACAAGAACATATGTGATGGATTTATATGAGGTCAAAATCAAAATCAAATGAAAACAGATTGATCGATGTGTACTACATGTATCAAATTAACAAGTGCTATTAATACCACTGAAACTTTCTCTATAAGTTGTGATACACGTAAGCAATTGATAAGAGACTTCATTAAGAGTTTTCGGATCTAATACATTTAAGACATTCAGGTTGTTAGGATGCCATTGTTTTATTACAATTTTCAAAAACTGGAAAATTTTGCAAAAAGACACAGAACAAATCGGATCTTCTTAAAGTTGAAGTGTCGGGTCCTAGTACATGTAATTATAAGCTTTGAGTAATTCATGTTTGATTTTGAAACTACAGTATCATTGTGTTTAAATGCAAAACAAATCCTTATAAGGAAGGATTATTGCATTTAAACGCAAAGATTATTGTGTTGAATCGCAAAAGTATTGCGTTGAATCGCAAAAGTATTGCGTTGAATCGCAAAAGTATTGCGTTGAATCGCAAAAGTATTGCGTTTAAACGCAAAAAACATTGCGTTTTAAGGCAAAAATATTATTGTGTTTAAAAGCAAAAAGTATTGCGTTTAATCACAAAAGTATTGTGTTTAATCGCAAAAGATTGCGTTTAATCGCAATCTTTTGCATTTAAACGCAAAGTGTTTTGCGTTTAAACGCAATATACATTGCGATTAATTGCAATGTTTTGCGTTTAAACGCAATAATTATTGCGATTAAACGCAATGTTTTGCGTTTAAACGCAATAATTATTGTGATTAAACGCAATGTTTTGCGTTTACACGCAATAATTATCGCGTTTAAACGCAATAAAAAATATTTCTTTCTCTGAACTGGCCTCAACGGGCTTCCGTATATTTGTACTTTTATTTTTATGATAGCTGACAATGCATGTCTATTAAATATTCTTTGAAACATTGTCAGTGTATTTCAGAATTTTGATTGACTTTTACAAGCTCACTGTTTAAATGCATCAAACCTTTTCTGTATAATTGCTCTTTTTTGTAATAAATCCTACCCTGACATTAAAAATAGCTAAAGCAGAATGCGGACATTGATTTTTAAGTACACATGCTGCATTTATTCTTTCATGACTTATTTTAATTTATTCCCTTTCACCCTATTCCACCTCAGTACATATTTCACACCTGAGACAAGGATCTTTTATCATACCAAGTATAAACTGGTCAACATATGGACAAGGTAAAGGTCAAAGGAAGGGAAAATGTGCTTATCTGTTCTCTAAATGTACATGTACTTTAGAAATACTTGTAACAAATGTAGATCATGACCCAAAGACATGCTGTGACCTGAAACCAAGGTCACGTCATAATTAAGCCAAGGTTGCCTACTGTGACCCTAAACCAAGGTCATTTGGAAAAAGGTATGGCCAAATCATTCCCCACCCCCCTTTAAATGAGTCATGCCAAAGAGAATTTGTGTTTCACAAACACATTTTTTGTTTTCTTGATTCTGGACTTGTTTTATTGCACTTTATCATACTTTACAGCAAACATGTACATGTATATCAAAGAAATATCCATGGCTCTGGTTTGAAAGAAAGAAAATTGATGCAAGCCAGATCACACTTCTCAGACAAAGTGCAGCCCATTATCTGATACTATTTTAATAAAGGAAAATTTTGGAAAATAAAGGCAGAGTGATTTGAGAAAAAGTGAAATTATTGGAAACAAACGAAGGTGTGGTCAACAAAAAATGTCTTTTTTATTTTATATATAGAGACATGCTTCATGAAAATGTTGATTAGAATGAAAACTACGGTATATTATCACAAGTTTTGTGTTGTAGATTCTTGAACACACATTATTTTCTGCAAATAATTTATTTTATATATATATATATATTTCAACATGACTTCCACAACTTGTTAAGACACTCAAATCCATAAACACATAAATTAATTTAAATATATAATTATCCAAATACAGAAAAGTAATTCATGTATATGATATATTTTCCTGTTGTTGCAAACCATTAAATTGTTGCTCTTTTGCATGAAAGTTGAGTAGTCTTGTAAAAAATAATTCTTGAAAAAATAAAAAGATACGCTCACCCAAGTCAAAATTTTCTTTCTAGCAAAAATTTTTGTATATGTAGATATTAAACCAAACCCATTTTTGATATCATTAGATATAAGTCCATTATTCAAACAATTGTAACCATTTTTTCTTGTGAATGTCCATTTATTTCTGTATAAAACTGTTCACATTTGTGGCCCAGCCCTTACCCCAGGAACCACAATCAGAACAGATATGCATCAACTAATCATCATGTAGTTGATACATATTTGTTCTGATGCTTAATTATTTGACTAATTTTGATCCTGACATTCCTTTGAAGAGGCTTTACAATTTTTTTCCCAATTTTACATTTTGACTCCATGATATGGACACACCCTAGCCAAAGGGCCTTAATTATTTCAATAAATCCAATTGTAAACTGCTTGTCAGGAGATCCTTATCAATATCTGAGATGTAAGATTAAACTACTTGTAATCCTTCAGTTCTTGGAAATAGGATTTTTCCTTCATATCTTTATATCCTCTATTGCTGCCCCACCTTAGTCTGGAGCCTGACTCAGGAGGTCATAATTTTTACTTATACATGTATATCATAATGACTATTTATGGACTTGTTCTATCTATACATGTAGAGAAAGCTTTTTCTAAATAGTTTCTTTTTACAATATATTCCCTTATAAAGCTTTGATCTATTGAAGTTAAAAATGTGAAGATCAAGACAATACATAACAACAGAGTAACAGGACAGACGGACTCGATACTTCTCAGAAAAGTTCACTTATTGAGCTCTTGGCTCAAAATTGTCAACTGGCCTTTTCAAATATGAATATTTTTCATTATAAGAAAACGTAATACAATATCATGCTTTGCAGTTCATGC